AGCAGACGCAGCCCCGACCTTCTCAGCACCAAGGAGGTCGACAGCAGCAGCAGTGGCGACAGAGGGGAGAAGGGGGGAAGGGGAACACCCCTCGAAGAAGGGGGTGCGGGGCTCGCCACGAGAGGCACCTACGGCGACGATGCTCGCCTCAGCTGCAAGTAGGTCCTTCTCGAGGAGGGCAATGGTGAGCTCAGTAGGGGAGCGAGCTAGAAAGGAGTCCCTGACTGTGCGCAGAGAGTCAGGGAGGCGGGTGACAATGTGGTAGAGGGTGAGCCAGAGCGGGGGGGGGTTGCTAGCAAGGAACTCGGCAGGCATGGCAGCGCGAAAACGGGCCTCACTAGTCTTGAGGTGGGTGATGAGATCAGCGACAGTGTGAAAGGAGGCCAGGTCGGGGAACAGGTAGGGCAGGGAGAGGCGGCCTAGGGTGGCAGACGCAGGCGAGGAGTAGCGAGCAACTACGGCTGTGTACAGTTCCTTAGCAGTCTTGCACTGGCCGAAGTGCTCGCGCTCATCTAGCGGCAGGGAGTTGCGGATAGCAAAGCGAGCGTGTGCGTCGCGGGTCTGCCACTGGGAGCGCAGTGTGCTAGCAGCAGAGGAGTCAGGGGCAGTAGCATGGCCTAGGGCGTGGTCGTACAGTGAAATGTCTTCCTTGGCAGTGAGCTGTAGGAAAAGGTGCAGATCATCGAGCCAGGTGTCAAATTTCACTGGGCGGCCCTCAGCGTCGAAGGCTAGAACAGGAGCAGTAGCCATGGTAGTAGGAGGAGGAAGAGTAAGTAATAAACGTGGCAGTGACAGTAGCAGTAGGGCAAGGCAGGGCCGGGGCAGTCGAGACAGCGGCGGCAGATGCTGCAGGTTCGGCTACGGCTGCTGCTGCTGGGTCGGCGGCGGCTGCTGCTGCAGAGGCAGCGGCGGCTGATTCTGCTGTAGCTGCGGCGGCCGCTGCTGTAGATTGCGGCGGCTGCTGCTGCCGTAGATGCGGCGGCGGCCGCTGCTGTAGATAATGCGGCAGCTGCTGCTGCTGTAGATGCAGCGGCGGCTGCTGCAGAAGGCGCGGCGGCTGCTGCTGCTGTAGATGCAGCGGCGGCTGCTGCAGAAGATGCGGCGGCTGCTGCTGCTGTGGATGCAGCGGCGGCTGCTGCAGAAGATGCGGCGGCTGCTGCTGCTGTGGATGCAGCGGCGGCTGCTGCAGAAGATGCGGCGGCTGCTGCTGCTGTAGCTGCAGCGGCGGCTGTTGCAGTAGATGCGGCGGCTGCAGCTGCTGTAGATGCAGCGGCGGCCGCGGCAGGGGAGGCGGCGACGGCTGCTGCAGCAGTTGCGACGGCCGCGACTGCAGTCTCTGCCGCGGCTGTTGCTGCAGGCCCGACCGCGGCGACGAAGGCGCGGGGGGGTCGAGCGCAGCACGGAGCAGCGCGACGGGCCGCGCTCGAAGAAAAAGAGCCGCGCGCACCGGCGGCTAGCTAGGCGCGCGCGAAAAACGGCCGCGCGCGGGCTGCTGGCTTGTCGCGCGCACGAAATAGGCCGCGCGCGGGCGGCTAGCAGATCGCGCGCGGTAAAAAAAAAAAAAAAAAAAAAAAAAAGGTATAGCGCACTAGGGGCGCAATAGGAGGCGCACTAGGGGCGCAATAGGAGGCGCACTAGGGGCGCTTGATAGGTATGTAGGTAGTTAGGTGGGCCCTTAAAAACGGTCCTAGGGAAGGACCTGCTCTGAAACCATGTCAAGATTACGAGACTGGAATGATTGAACTAACAGAGAAATCAGTACAAATAGCTAACCCTAGAATTGTGTACCCCATACAGGCTAACCCACTGTAGCCTAACAAACCAGACATATATAATGTTTGACAACAATATGTAAAATTTTTAAAGTTACACTTCTAAAATTTTGAAGATTGTGATTCGACTAAAAGAGGAGTTTGCTGTAAAGGAGACAAACTCCTTCTTCATTCCGGCAGGTCTCTCAGATCTGCCACCTAGTCTCATTTGCATTTTCAGATTTCCAACTTTGCTTCCCTCCCACCCAATCCCATTTCTTAGTTACATAGAGTTTGCTATTTTCCGTTGAATACATTTTGTTATTGCTCATCTGAGTGTGCTGTACAAATGGAATTTGTAATGCTATGACGACTGCACTGCACACTCCTCGGAGAGTCGTGTCACAATTTGAGGGATTGTGACACGACTTTCCGAGGAGTCTGCAGTGCAAGAGTTTGAAGTTGCAAATGAGACTAGGTGGCAGGTCCTCGGACCTGCCGGAAGATGAAGGAGCTTGTCTCCTTTACAACACACCCCTCTTCAATTCGAATCACAATCTGTAAATTTTTTTTGTATAATAAAAAAAAATCATTTTTCTCCTAGGCTGATGCTTGTACCGTATTACCCCGGATTAAAGCGCAGGTGCGCTTATAATAAATCAGTGTTTTTTAGGGGGGTGCGCTTATAATTGAGTAAAAAATATAAGCGCATGCGCTTATATAATGACTAATACAAATTTATATTCTTACTGCACCAGATTGTACATCCCCTTATTGCAATTTTAATCGAAGCGCAATGATAGGGGGTCACAATTCAGAGTCGCACGCGGGCGAATTTCTGCGGGCACACAGGGGCAGTTACACGTCATTGCGCCGGAATTCCAGCTCATAATGACTGGACGCGCAGAATGTAAGGTCCTCGCGAGTCAATCGAACCGAAATTGGTGTGACCTCGCTGCAAATTGGAATTTCGTTACCGTTTCAAGCAAATTCAAATTTTAATATTATACATGCGCTTATAATAAGTCAGGGTTTTACAGGGGGTGCGCTTATAATTGAGGATCGGCCATAAGCGCATTGCTCCAGATAGAAGCGCATGCGCTTATCATAGGCCTGCGCTTTTATCCGGGGCGATACGGTAGTTTGGGAATTGGAAGTGAGGTTCAATACTTGTCTTACAACAAACCAGCAAGATATACGTTTAGTGCACGTGTGCTAAGGTCTACACCAAAAGGGTAATGCGTACATTTACAGCTCATAAGCCAGCTCGGTTACCACATTTCGGGCTGTAACACTGCTTTTTACAGAAAATTTAGACACGATCAGCTTTTGTTCACGAGACGGCACGCGCCCCCTGCAGGTACATCGAGTCGTCTGACTCACGTTAGTGGAATCAGCATGCACGCGAACAAGGGTACAGAATTGTGTCCTGCCCATCACAGTAATTTCGCTCAAGCGTGAAATTTTCGCTTGCACTAGAACTCGTGCGCGACGATTGGCGAGGGAACAAGTAAACTCAGTTTCCATGCGGTCGGACCACTGTAGAAATTTGCATGTGGGCGGGTTAGTCCGTGCACTCCACACAGCCAGTATGGACTCGACCCGCACTGGATTCGTATTTAGGTACGGTACAATGAGATTTTTTGAACTGCGAGACGTGAGAAGGTACTACCACCATCCCAACACAACTCGCGTGGTTGAATGAATACAGCACTACCTATTTCAAGAATTATACACACCCATAGTTCAAGCATCATACACAACACACGAAACGCGGCCAGAATCTGTCCGCGGCAAATGGGGCACAGTGACCTCTCCTCTCTAACCACCCTTGAACACGACAGACAACATACGCGATGGCCACACGGAATGAACACGGCCTTGCGCTTGCGATGCAGACACACCACACAGAGCTCTCCGCTCTGCACTATCAAAATCCCAGCCACTAACCACTGGGATAAAATGGCTTGTTTGTGTGGCGGGTGAGTGCGCCCATAACCCCCCAGGCCAACGTGCCTGTAACCCTTCCCTAGGATCAACGGGGATCACCAGTGGACCTCTGACACCCCCCCGCACTGGGATGCCCGAAGTGCATACACCGGGATTCGAACCCGAGACCTTCGCTCTGATACCATATCAGAATCCCAGCCACTAACCACTGGGATAAAAAGGCTTGTTTGTGTAGCGGATGAGTGCGCCCATAACCCCCCAGGCCAACGTGCCTGTAACCCTTCCCTAGGATCAACGGGGATCACCAGTGGACCTCTGACATGCACCTCCTCCTCCCCCACCACCTCCTCATCTACATCCCCACTGCATCTCAGATGTGTCAAACTCCTCTCTAGCTCCAAGGTTGAGGCTGCTAGTGCCCTCAGTCTCACGCGCGAGGCATGCATCATGCCTCCTTGTGCCCCCACCCGTAGTCGTCCAGTACTTTCTCTTCCTGCTCCAGCCGCTGCCCTTGCTCCTGCTCCTGCTCCGGTTACTGCTCCAGCTCCCGCTGCTGCTCCTGCTCCAGCTTCTGCTGCTGCTCCTGCTCCTGCTCCGGTTACTGCTCCTCCTCCTGCTCCTGCTCCTCTTCCTGCTGTTTCTGCTGCTGCTGCTCCTGCTGCTGCTCCTGCACCTGCCCCTATTCCTGCTAGTGCCTCTGCTCCTGCTATTGCTCCTGCCTCTACTCCAGCTAAAGCTCCTGCTACTGCTCTTGCTACTGCTCCTGCTACTGCTACAGCTCCTGCTACTACTACTGATCCTGCTACTGCTCCTGCTACTGCTAATGCTCCTGTTAATGCTACTGCTCTTGCTGTTGCTCCTGCTACTGCTCCTGCTACTGCTACTGCTCTTGCTACTGCTCCTGCTACTGCTACTGCTCCTGCTACTGCAGTCTGCTGCCTTTCCAGCAGTATTGTCATCCTCCTTTCCAACTCTTCCTGCTCCGTCTGCTCCTGCCGCCGCTGCTGGTGCTGCCTGGATTGCTGGCGAAGATTCGCCCTGGTAGGGCACATGGGGAGAAGAGAGTATCGAATGGAAAGTAGTGAGAGGAGAGGAGAGGAGAGGCGAGGAGAGAAATGGAGAGGAAGGCACATCATTACTCAGAGGAAGTAGGGGGTCCTATGATGGAGAGAGAAAGCACGCACAGGAATTAGGGAGTTGTGGGAAAATAAGAGATCTTAGTAAGAGGGATGTCCCTTGATATAGTAAGGCGGCCACTCACAGGAAGTAGGGGATTTTCGGGAAAGCGATGATCGCGGGTCAACCGTCGGATTCAAATCTTACAGGGCCGACAGCTGTCATCTCTTGATTGATAGGCAGCACCCTTTCATCCGTGCGCAGGCGCACCTGGTGGGAGAGGGGTCATGAGTGGTGGGAGGGGAGTCATTAGTGGTGGGAGGGGGGTCATGAGTGGTGGGAGCAGGTTCATGAGTGGTGTGTGCAGATGAACATGCAGGGCGGGTGGAGATAAGGAGATGGCCAGAGCACCCTCTTGTCCATGCGTGTACAGGCAGACCTGGGGAAGGTGTATCTGTGGTGTGGGGTGGTCCTCAACCATTCACGCATTCATTTCATGGGCAAATTGGCAATACGCAACGAGCCGACCAGGGGAAGGCGCAGGTGTGGACCGGCACTCATTCATTCATTTTCACTCATTCATTCATTCATTCATTCAGGCACAGGCCCACCTGGGGAAGGTGTATATGTAAGGTGGTGTGGCACTCATCATTCATTCAAAGTACAAAGCAGGGAGGGGAAGAAGAGAGATGAGTGCAGACGAACGAGCAAGGCGAAACTGATGGAAAGGAAACAGTCAGAGAAAATGGTGAGCTATCACTGGTGAAACCCTCACAGAAGAGCATGCAAGGTGGGGGGACAGAAGGAAGGAAACGGTTAGAGCACTCGTTCAGCATCCGCTGGTTAAGCTAAACACCCAACAGCACTTTTCTCCAGCTGACTGACTAGGTCTTGGCCTGGACGGTTGAATAGAAGAAAGAAAGCATCTACAAGTTTTCCTCGTTTCAGAAGAATGGTAGACTTGAGCAACACAGGCAACACAGGGTGCACATGCTGGGTGGCACAAGCTGAGTGGCACAGGCTGGAATAGCAGGGAGCATGAAACCTGTAATCAGTAGCGGTCACACTATACGCAGATGCATGGATGTGACATGGAGAGTATACTCAACTGAAGGCGCAAGTGATAGCACACACCTCCCACCGATCAGCACCACGTGTTGACATCTCACTGGAGGACGCCACACAACCCTTGCCTCTGCACACCATATACAGTCACATCCACAAGACCCACCCCTCATGGGCCGACGCCGCCCTGCATGTGCTTATAGGGAAGGGCCTTCCGGTCAGTACTTTACACTTGCTTATAGGGGTATATTTCCAGAAGGGGTACTCGCCGGAAGGCCCTTCCCTATTAGCGGGCCTTGTGGATGTGACTGTACACGGTGTGCAGAGGCAAGGGCTGTGTGGCACCCTCTAATGAGATGTCGACACGTGCCGCTGATGGGTAAGAGGTGTCTGCTAGAAAGACGAGAACCTACCAAGTGGTGACGAGAAAGCGGACGAGGAAAGGGAGAGGAAGCAAGGTGCGAAAGAGGGAGAAAGAGAGGGAAAACAGAGAGGAGGGCTGAGAGGAGGAACCAGGAAGAGAGAAATGGAGTGAAAGCAGAGAACGAGGGCCTAACGTCGCAAAAAATGAAAGCAGAGCAAATAAGCAACAACAATCAGTCAGTGGGAGTGAACGAGAACTGCAGCAGAATGCAGAAATAGGCGGATCCCTTCCCACATTTTGGAAATCTGTGACTCAGATTTCTGGAAGAGGATGCCGTAATGATCTGGTCCAGTGACCCAGCCGTAGAGGTGATACGTCGTCACTCATGGTGACTCACAGATTTCGGGAAAAGGATGCCGTAACCATCTGGTCCAGTGACACAGCCATACCGGAGCTTTGTCTGCAGAATCTGTGTGACGGGCATCACAGGGGGTCAAGAAGGTCACGGGGGTCACGGGGAAGCGAGGAGTGGCATGGGGGTCAACGGAGGGAGGAAGGAATGGGGCGAAGGAGGGGACAAGGAGAGGCCAAGTGAGGGGGCACAGGGGGGGGCACAGGGGGGGGCACAGGGGGGGGCACAGGGGGGGGCACAGGGGGGGGCACAGGGGGGGGCACAGGGGGGGGCACAGGGGGGGGCACAGGGGGGGGCACAGGGGGGGGCACAGGGGGGGGCACAGGGGGGGGCACAGGGGGGGGCACAGGGGGGGGCACAGGGGGGGGCACAGGGGGGGGCACAGGGGGGGGCAAGTGAGGGGCACAGGAGGGGGCAAGAGAGGGGGTAAGGGGGCAAGTGAGGGGAAAACGGAGGAGGGGGTTCCAAGGCGCAGGGAAGCTCCTCTCTTGACTGTACAGTGAAGGTCCTACATGCGGCGGCAGCTTGAAATGCAGATTTGATCCGAAATGGGGGGATTGGGCCAGTGCGGGGGGGGGTTAACAGCAATCAAGAACCGCGAAGAAAAGATAGAGAAGAGAGGGAGGAGAAGGACGGGAGGAAGGGAAGGCGGGAGAAGGGGAGGCAGAGGTGCAGGTAGGAGTGGGAGGTTGACAACAGGGTTACGCTGTGGAAAGCTGACTTCTGAAAAAAAACTGCAAAGTCAATTCTGTATGATTTGAACTGGATAGACCTTGAACTGGATCAACACAGGATGTCCTATGGGAATTGGGGAAGCCTGGGCAATCGGGAGTGGGGAGTGGGGGAACCGTCCTCTGCTTCAAGATCTTCTGGGCCATTATTTAGGCGCCTCAACAACCTCAACAATTGCCTCTCCCCTTACGTGTCTTCACACTCACCATCTCCATACTCCCCCTCGCCTTCACGATCTACGAGGCCACTTCTTAGGTGCCTCAACCTCAACAATTGCCTCTTCCCTTACGTCTCTCCACACCCACCGTCTCCATACTCTCCCTCGATTGCTCAACAGTTTCCTTCATCTCCCTCGCTCACCCACTCGCCCACTCTCTCCCTCTCCCACTCTCTCACTCCCTTCCTCTCCCACTCGCTACACTCTCTCCATTCGCTCACTCTCTCCCTCTCCCACTCGCTCACTCCCTCCTCTCTCACTCGCTCACTCTCTCCCTCTCCCACTCGCTCACTCCCTCCCTCTCTCACTCGCCCACTCTCTCCCTTTCCCACTCGCTCACTCTCCCCCTCTCCCACTCGCTCACTCCCTCCCCCTCCCACTCACCCACTCTCTCCCTCTCCCACTCGCTCACTCTCTCCCTCTCCCTCTCCCACTCGCTCACTCCCTCCCTCTCTCACTCGCTCACTCCCTCCCCCTCCCACTCACCCACTCTCTCCCTCTCCCACTCGCTCACTCCCTCCCTCTCTCACTCGCCCACTCTCTCCCTTTCCCACTCGCTCACTCTCCCCCTCTCCCACTCGCTCACTCCCTCCCCCTCCCACTCACCCACTCTCTCCCTCTCCCACTCGCTCACTCTCTCCCTCTCCCACTCACTCAATCTCTCTCTCTTTCCCACTCACCGTGTCAGTCTTCGCCACGATCGCACACAGCTGCTGCCCGCCATGGTCTGGCAGCAGGGGAAGACCACGGGGATCGGGCCGCCACTCAAGGCCGAATCGTTGCAGGATTGGCGCATGGAAGGCAGGCCTCCCCCAGCCATGATGCCCCAGCCCCAGTGCTTGCACAATCCCTGGACCTCTCACCACCACCAGCTTCTGGGGAGCTGGCGCCTCAACCATTGAGTTGATGCCTGAACTTGGGAGGTTCTCCAGTGGACCTCTAACACTGCTGCCACTTGCATGAAGCAGCCACTTCAATTCGGCGCCGCTGCTGCCGCTGCCGCTGCTGCTGCTGCTGCTGCTGCTGCCACCGCCGCCGCCGCCGCCGCCGCTGCTGCTGCTGCTGCCTGCGTGCAGCAGCCAACCAAATCCACCACCACCACCGCCGCTGCTGCTGCTGCTGGCTGTGGCACCGCCAGCAGGCTGCTTCGCGCGACTTAGCTCTGCGTCGATCGTTTCACGTGCGGATCTGATCGTGGAGAGCCAACCCAATCCACCACTGCCGCTGCCACCTTTGCTGCTGGAACCACCACCACCACCACCGCCGCTGCTGCTGCTGGTGCCTCTGGCACCATCAGCAGGCGGCATCGCGTGACTTTGCTCCGCGGCCGTCGTTTTGCGCGCGTATCTGAGCGCGGAGAGTTGATCGACTTGTCGATCGTCAGCAGGATGCGGCTTCGCGCGACTTAGCTCCGCGACGGTCGTTTCGCGCGCGGATCTGAGCGCGGAGAGCGAGCGAGACACGTCCAACAGCTGCCACCGCGGCGGCGGCGCGGTAGGAGCAGCACCATTGTGTGACACGCCGGTATTCCCGCCGCTAGATGAAAGCATTGGCGCCGAACGACGATAGGACAGGTTGTCAAATCGTTCTCGTTTCGTAGAGCGGATTTGGTGGAGATCTCACGAACCGCTTATGGAATTGGTGAGGGACGACGATGCAACATGAGCGTCGATTTCTTGAGTTCTCTGTGCTGTCATGACTCGTGTGAGACAGGAATGTGCGTTCCTCTGTGAGGATTCGTGTGCCTGAGTCGACAAGGACTGGAAAATGTGAAAGGTCTCCAAGGTGGAATTTCAAATGGTGTTGACTCTGAGTGACTTGGAGAAAGACGAAAGAGGTCCTCCACTCAGACGAAAGACTCTGAGTGGATGGGACGGGAGATCTGGGTACGACGAAAGACGATGAAAGAGGAGGGTGCTCTCACGGTGATGACGTCACGGCCGTCGCCTTGGGATTGCCGAGCGGTGATGCGGCGAGCGCTGTGCGATGACGGCGACAGCCCTGAAATATGGGCCCGTCATCATCGATTTAGTCGCCAAATCTCTTTTGACGCGCAGTCGTCGTCGGACCGGGGACTCGTGTCGCAAGCACGCCACTATAGCGGGGGCGAGAGCGATTGGCCTGTTCGCCTTGAAGGCGGCGAGCCACTGAAAGGAACCAGGACAGGCCGTCTCGGTCGTGAGAAAAAGCATAGGTGCGAGGTAACGATACATGCAACGAAATCGCGATGTACCGTTTCCGTGGGACGAATGTGGAGGTGAGCGAGAGCAAGGAAGCAGGACGGGACATGGGTTCTGGGGCTAGTTTATGGCGGGGATGAAAGTGGAATACGTACGCGGTAGCATCGCATCACTCTTGCTTGGATAACATAGGTATTCGAAAAATAGGATAATCCGTGAACATGGGAAATTGGGTGTAGACTAATGGAATGTCCAGAAAACAAATAAAATTGTAAAGCCTGGTCATTCTGACCTTCCTCTTGGTGTTAATGTGGCACACTAGCGAGAATTGTCCTGTTCTGGCCACTCATTGTTACGCCTCCACTGTGCCACACGACTTCTACGAGTTTATTCAATCCACACCAGAGCACTATTCCCGATAAAAACACGCCCCATGCTCTCACTCTCTCCCAGCTCCATCTGCCTCCATTCGCGTCACAGACATTCAGCCACGCCTCCTTTTGTGAGCCTGAGTGCGCCTTCACATAGTTTCCTAGTACCTTTTCCCAAGCAAAGATGCGCACAACGCTCCCACTCTCTCCCAGCTCCATCTGTGACGCCGCCGCCGCCGCCGTCGCCGCGGCTGCTGCCTCCATTCGTGTCACAGCCATAAGCCACACCTCCCTTTGCGAGCCTGAGTGCGCCTTCACAGAACCTCCTAGCGCCCTCTTCCAGACAAGGACGCGCACCATGCTCCCACTCTCTCCCAGATCCGTATGACGCGCTGCTGTCGATCTTGTCGCCTGATATTGAGAGGGGTGGGGCGGGGGAAAGGAGAGGAGGGAGGCCATTCTGAACAACCTCAGCTCCTGGAACGGTCAAGCAGCACGCGGAATTCCTTGAGAGTAAATGAGAGTGAATGAGTTCTTGTTGCTTCCACATTACCAGACTAGCATAAGCTTCCAGGCAAGGATGAACCTCACTCTCTCAGCCTCTGTAGCTATATGAACCCCCCTTTCACTCCCTCGCCCATCCACCCATGCACCCTTTCCCCCGTTTTGAAAATTCTTTGAAGCGACTAGAATAATCTTTCCAGGAAAGATGACCTCACTCTTCCAGTCTCTCTAGCTCCATAAACCCTTCTTCACCCACTCGCCCATCCACCGATGCACACATTCTCCTGTCTGCCCGTTCACCCATCCCTCCACCCGTCCATCCACCAATATGCCCACGTAACCATATGCCTCTCCATGCACCCATACACCCATCCCCTCATCTGCCCATGCAACCATCCATCCATCCATCCATCCATCACCCATGAACCATCCACCCATGCACCCATCCATCCACCCATCCACATACACGCACCTCCAAACAGCAAAGCCAACAATACCCGCAGCAGCAGCAGACAGCAGCAAGCAGCACCCCAATAGCAACCCGCACTGCTGATCCAACTTCTCCAGCATGCCCGTCTTGCTTTCAGAGAACCTGGAAACCGGGGGGGAGGATCCAGCAATTAGGTTGATGTTGGAGAAACTGGGAATCTTGTGGGGAAATGCGGCAGGGGAGTGAAGTTAAGGTTGTTGAATTCACACCAGTGCTTTCCATGTACGAAGGTTTAACAAAAAAAATCAAAGAAGAACAAATAGGGCAAGGAAGAGTGGGAAGGAAGGAGTGCCAGAGGGAGCGTGTGAGGGAGGGAATAGGGTGGGGGAAAGGGGGAGGGGAAAAAAGCCCAGGTCATGGGCACAAGAGGTGCAAAAACAGGTCTCCACAATATGTAGCTACATGTGAAATACGTAACTACGACAGGAAGGGGTTACATACAGAAATTAAGGATCATTTTGAGTCAACTCAGAAGTAACTTCATCACATACAGAAAGAAGGGGAGTTTGGGCGAAGCGACTATGGCGGGACGACCGTCGGATCCGAATGTCACGTGGCCGACAGCTGTCAGCACGTGATTGATGGGTAGCGTCCTCTCTTCGGTACGCAGGCCTGCCTGGGGAAGGCGTATGTGTGGGGTGGTACTCAGTCATTTCTTCATTCACTCATTCCGTTTTTATTCATTCATTCACTCAGTCACAAAATGGTACATGAGGCAAGAAGCACCTTCTTATCTGTGCGCAGACAGGCAGAGTCAAGCTGGTGAGAGAAATCAAGAATGGTGTGTGCAGATGAGCATGCATGGTGGGTTTAGAAATGAATATAGCCAACCACTGGTTAGCCATGCATGCGACAAGAGCCCCTGCCCACCAAGTCCCAGCCCACAGAACAGTACTTCCCAAGAAAGCAACCAAAGTCCTGAAGAACAAGAAGCATTGAAGGGCGTGAGCATCAGCATCAGATGGAGGACAAGGTTGAGTACATGTCTCATGCTCCTTGCTGTTCTGTCCACAAAAAGCATTGAAGGGCGTGGCAGAGGCTGGGTGGCGAAGGATGGAACAGCAGGGAGCATGAGACCTGTCTCACCAACACGTGCCTCCTAATAAGCCCATGCATAGAGAGTACAAAGAAAGTGTAAGAGCTTCTCTATAAGCACGTGGGAGGCTTATAAGGAGTTTTCTCACCGGCAGGCGCTTCCATATAAGCACGTGCAGGGCAGCGTCGCCCAATGAGGGGTTCGGCTTGTATGTGTGATTGTACACGGTGTGCAGAGGCAGCGGCTGTGTGGCGCCGACCAAGGAGATGTCGACACGTGGCGCTAATGGGTGTGTGGTGTCTGCTAGAGAAAAAGGGACCTGTGGAGATGCAAGGGAGGGGAGGGAAAGAAAGTGAGAGAAAACGGAATGGAAGATTGAACAAAATACACTTTATTTCCTCCTCTATGTTGCATATTCTCAGGTCCCTATCTCTGTAGCAGACACCACCCACCCATCAGCGCCACGCGTTGACATCTCATTGGTGGGCTGTGTAGCGCCCATCAATGAGATGTCAACACGTGGCGCTAATGGGTGGTGGTGCCCGCTAGAGAGAAGGGGATCAGTAGAGGGCAAGGGAGAGGAGGGAGGGGAAATGGGGAGGAGAGAGGAAGCAAGTCAGGGGAAACAACGACCTGAATGGTGGGGCGGAGCAGAGCAGAGTAATATTGCAGCACAGTAAGCTATCAAGCCAACTCTTTGCCCTCCCTCTTAATGCGAAAGTAATCAAGCAAACCTCTTCCCGCACCCAATAATTTCAAAACTCACAGATTTTTGGGAACGAAAAGTTTGGCTTGGTGGGGTGATGATCCAGCCATACGGCAGATGTATTTCCGTCTGTAAGACCTGGAGCAGAGAGGAGGAGACATATGACATGACGGGGAGGGAAAGCTTCCGTCTGATTGCTGCATGATTGGGATATGAAAGCCGAATCACCTCTAACCTTCATCATTTCCGTCGCCTTCCATACTCTGTCCTCTCCACAATGGAACACGGATGCTTCATCCCGTGGTCTGGTAGCAGCAGGGGGAAAAGCTTCAACCCAAGGCCGAATCACTCCAAGATTGAGATATGAAAAGCCAAATTACCTCATTCATCTCTCTCACTCGCACTCACAGTCTCTGTCACTCAACCCATCCACTCACCGTCTCTGTCTCTCTCCCACTCACCGTCTCTGTTACTCAACTCAACCACTCACCATCTCTGTCCCTCTCCCACTCACCGTCTCTGTCCCTCTCTCACTCACCGTCTCTGTCCCTCTCCCACTCACCGTCTCTGTCCCTCTCCCACTCACCGTCTCTGTCCCTCTCCCACTCACCGTCTCTGTCCCTCTCCCACTCACCGTCTCTGTCCCTCTCCCACTCACCGTCTCTGTCCCTCTCCCGCTCACCGTCTCTGTTCTCTCCACAACCGCACACGGCAACTTCACCCCAACCTGGCAGCAGCGTGGGGGGAGGCTTCCGACCAATGCCCCATCGCTGCAGGGTTTGGATATGAAAGCCGAATCACTTCAACTCTCCCACTCGCACTCACCATCTCTCTCCCTCAACCACTCACCGTCTCTGTCCTTTCCACGATGGCACACGGCTGCTTCACCCCGTGGTCTGGCAGAAGCGGCGGACGAGGCTTCCCCAAGGCTGCTGCTGCTGCTGCTGCTGCTGGCGGCGTCGGCAGGCGGTTTCGCGCGGCTGAGTTGAAGGACGGTCGTTTCGCGCGCGGATCTGAGCGTGGATCGCGAGCAAGACACGTCCATCAGCTGCCACCATGCGACACAAGCGCTCCCAACGGCCAACGTGCCAAAGACATCTTCCAGCTGAGCGCGAGCTAGCGGCGGCGACGGTGACGGGAGTGAGCTACTACTAGAAGCTCGGTGCTCTATGCCAAAATCCATGGAAATCGACGGATTGGCGAAGGACGACGTTGGGGGGTAGGCGTTTCAAGAGTTCAACGCGACTCTTGGGCGACTCCCTCACAGTACATCGGTGAGATGACTTCTTCGACTCGTGGCGTGTGAGTGACTTCAAACACCCGACCGCGAGTCAACCTTGGAGTGTGAGTCATTCGCCTTGAGTCGGGCGTTTGAAGTCACCCACTCTACACCTGTGAGACCACTCCCTCTACGCTTCGACTTCAGAATTTCATTTCCGGCGATGGTGACTCCGCCGCGTCATGTAAAGGTGACTCCGGCGATAGTCACATGTGAACCACTCCTTTGGCCTGTCGACTGTGAGAGCAGTCAAAGGCTCGACCCCGAATGATGGTGACTTGGCGTCGCGTAAAGAGTCACGTACGAGACCACCCTTCGACTTGTCGACTGTGAGAGCAGTCAAAAAGGCCTAAGCCCGAATGGCGACACGTTAAGAATCACCGTGCGTGGGACCGAAGGTCCTCCAAAGAGCAGACAGTCAGACGGTGATGACGTGAGCACGACCACCCGCCTTGGGATTGCCGAGAGTGGCAACGCAACAAGCGCAGAGCGATAACGACAGCTCCGGAATCTGGGCCCGTCATTGTCACTGAAACTAACCGGTTCCGGTTTCGACTGCGAAGCACTAAAGCGAGAATGCGAGCGATGCACTGGTTCCCTGTTCTCCGCGCTGAGGGCCGAGAGCGATGGGGCTAAGGGCAAGCAGAGGCAGATAATGCAGCGGGTCGTGTAGACTACGTCAGCGATCCACCTGTTCGCAGGCGAATCGCAGGCGAATGTGTCATCAACCCGCACGAGGATCCCAAGCACGACCCCCTAATATGCTGACTCGATTGACGTGATAGTGAAAGAAGTTGAACGACGCACTATATAGAATAAGTTTATTATGTTATGTCTCAAGCGATTATCATGTTCGTGCTACAAATATATGCATCACAAGAGCTGTAGTACACAACATTGTATGGTCGATTTGAACCCGACATTGGGTTGGACTGGCCTTGCAACAAGGCTGAGATGAGGGGTAAGGCATGATGGAGGGTAGGACATATGGGCCAACACAACTGTATGCACATGTACAATTGCTACAGGATGCAACTTGCATCTCAAACAGGAAAACCTAACCCTGGTCCCATTTTCTAGGAAAACACACAAGCATGTTCCACCATAAGCTGACCACCCGAGTGCTTGAGAAATCAATCTGGGAGTTAACAGTAGAGAATGCGCATGAGCATGTTGCTAACCACCTCAAGGGAAGGGGCCAGGGAAGGAGAAGAGGGGTGTGGCAGTTTGAGACGTGGTGAAGTTGAGCAGCAGAATGCGTGTGGGCAAGACCCGAGCAAGAACAGGCAGCTTAGGGCAGGAGGAAGGGAAGCGAAACGGGTGGCGGTGTCTTGAGACGCCTTGACACTCAGCAGTACAACATGCGCGTGGACATGCTCTTAGCGAGATAGGGCAACAGGGGCAGGAGGAGGAGGAGGAGGGGGGAAAGGGGTAGGGGTGGTGGTGTCTTGAGACGCCGCGAAACTCAGCAGTAGAACATGCGAGTGGGCATGCCCTTAGCGAGGACAGGTGCTTCAAAAGTAGAGCTCAGCAGCACAACAAGCAATCAGCAGAAGCACATGCGTGTGGGCATGCCCTTTGCGAGAGCAGGTATCTCAGGCACAGTAGGACGGGGAGGGCCAGGGGAAGAGGGGGAGGGCCAGCGGAAGAGGGGGAGGGCCAGGGGAAGAGGGGGAGGGCCAGCGGAAGAGGGGGAGGGCCAGGGGAAGAGGGGGAGGGCGAGGGGAAGAACGGGAGGACAGGGGGCAGAAGGATCTCGAGAAGCCTTGACACTCAGCAGAAGCACATGCGTGTGGGCATGCCCTTAGCGAGAGCAGGTATCGCAGCACAGGAGGAGGTGAAGGGCCAGGGGAAGAGGGGGAGGACGAGGGGCAGCAGGTTCTTGAGAAGCCTTGAAGCTCAGCAGTAGAACATGCGTGTGGGCATGCCCTTAGCCAGAGCCGGCAGCTCAGGCACGGGCGGAGGGGGAGGGCGGGGGGCGGCGGGGTCCCTGTTGCGGCCGGCACTGGACTCGGAGGAGTGGTCTGTAGCATCGTGGCCGTCGTGGTCGAGGTAGTTGCGGCAATGCGTAGCTGCTAGGTGCGCGTAGAACACCGGTGCCACTGTGATGGAAGGGGGGAAAGGAAGAAGAGGACAGAGGGCACAGGAACACAGGGGCAGAGGGATACAGTTGGCAGGGGAGCCAGAATGCATGCATGAGGCGATGGACTCATGGGGAAGGGCGGGGGGCGCCAGGGTCCCTGTTGCGACCGACACTGGACTCGGAGGAGATGCCAGTGGCATCATGACCGTCGTGGTCGAGGTAGTTGTGGCAGTGCGTTGCTGCTAGGTGCGCGTAGAACACCGGTGCCACTGCAGGGGCACAGGGACGCAGGAACGGGGAGGCAGGGAAAGCATGGATGCGAGCATGAGGCAGACTTGCAGGAGATGTCATGTCGGCAGCGTCGTGGTGCAAGCAGTGGCGGCAGACCATCAACACGTTGCTGCAAGGTGCGCCCCGATTAAAGGCGCAACTTGTTGGTCGTATAACACATTTTCATCACAAGGCATAGTGCAAGAAACGGCATTGGCTGATGTGAAGGTAGAGACGAGCAAGAACTAAAACCCCTGTTCGGTTTGACTCCAACATGTACGAGTCTAGAAGTGTGATGCAGGGAGAGCGTATTTGTGGAGACGGCCCGAGTGCACCTCCCATTTGAGACGTCTCACAAGGCATACAGATAAGTTGTAAGGGGGTTGTGGGAATAGGGAGTGCATACCAGTAGAAACGGCTCGAGTGCACCTCCCATAGCTGCCACGGGGGTAGGAAAGATAAGAACACAGTAAGAATATGATGATGCGCTTTAGAGGCAAGGCAAGGACAGAAATGACGTTGCATCATAAATGCCACGAAAACTCATTCTTATCGTGCTGATTCTTGCGTTGACAATGAAACGCATTCTGAATGTGCTGACTCAGTCTCTATCTCACTGGGACTCACTTGTAGCAGAGGGAGTGCGTGAGGTGCTGGATCTCGTCTGCTGTGAACCCGTTCTCATCGTGCAACACGTGGTAGTGTACTGGCCTGCTCGTGCCCTGTAGGGGGAAACATGGTCACATGGAGAGATAGACAGGTGAATGGATGCTGAGGAAAAGAACAAATGAATTGAGTTTGTTCTCATCATGCAACATGTGGTAGTGCACTGGCTTGCTGGTGCCCTGTAGGAGGGGGAACACATTCACATAGAGGGATAGGTGCACTGGCTGAATCTCCTCTGCAGTAAACCCATTCTCATCGTGCAACACGTGGTAGTGCACTGGCTTGCTGGTGCCCTGTAGGAGGGGGAACACATTCACATAGAGGGATAGGTGCACTGGCTGAATCTCCCCTGCAGTAAACCCATTCTCATCGTGCAACACGTGGTAGTGCACTGGCTTGCTGGTGCCCTGTAGGAGGGGGAACACATTCACATAGAGGGATAGGTGCACTGGCTGAATCTCCCCTGCAGTAAACCCATTCTCATCGTGCAACACGTGGTAGTGCACTGGCTTGCTGGTGCCCTGTAGGGGGGGAGAAAGCACATTTACATAGGAAGAGAGGGTGTATGAACGCACTTGTCATGACTGCTGAGGAACGAACTATGAACCCATTCTTATCATTCAACACGTGGTAGTGCACTGGCCAACTGGTGCCCTGTAGGGGGGGGAAACACATTCACATAGAGGGATAGTGTATAAATGCACTCATGAATGCTGAATCTCGTCTGCTGTGAACCCATTCTCATCATGTAACACATGGTAGTGCACTGGCCGACTGGTTGTTTGTAGGGAGTAAAACGAACCAGAGAGGAATTGTGGAGTATATGCAACAACTGTTCTTGCCAAAGCTAGCCCTCTGTAGTGTATTTTCAATCTATCAACAGGCCCTTGTGCGAGGCCATATACAACAACAAAAAAAAAAAGAAAACACTTTCTTCTTTTACTTCTACATGATCTCGCACAAGGGCCTGCTGGTATGTCGGGACCTTCTTTGCTCATTGTGGGTGACATCGCTGTCCACGATGGCCCAGGGCAAGTAAGGCTGAATGTATGCACAATTCCATTTCACCATCATGAGCTACCTGACCATGTAGAAGTCAAATAAGAATACAAGAGTGACATCCTTATCCACGATGGTCGCTGAACGTTGTAGCCGCCCTGGGACGGCAGGAAGCGCACGTTGTTGCGCTTCCGTGTTTCACCACATACCAGAAAGCCCTTACTGCACTGCAGACTTACCAGCAGGCCCTTGTGGGAGACCATGTAAAAGTCAAAGAAGAAAGGATGAGTCACATCGCGGTCAACGATGGTCCCCGGCTGCACATTAAAGCCGCCCTGGGATGGCAGGAAGCGCACATTGTTGCGCTTCTGTGCCACGATGTAGGTGATGGGGGGGCGGAAGGAAGGGTTGCCCACTCTCGTGCCCATCACCTCGAACGCCTGGAGAGGGGAGGAGAGGAAGGAGGGGAAGAGCAGCGTGTGTCATGATGTTTCTGCGCCACGATGTAGGTGATAGGGGGGGCGGAAGGAAGGTTGCCCACTCTCGTGCCCATCACCTCGAATGCCTGGAGAGGGGAGGAGAGGAAGGAGGGGAAGAGCAGCGTGTGTCATGATGTTTCTGCGCCACGATGTAGGTGATAGGGGGGGCGGAAGGAAGGTTGCCCACTCTCGTGCCCATCACCTCGAACGCCTGGGGGAGTAGGAAACAGGAGAGGAGGAGAAAGAGGTGGAATAAGGGAGGAGGGGAAGGGGAGGGGCGAGGAGGAAGCGCATGTTGTTCCGCAACTAAGTGACGGCGTAGGTGATGGGGGGGCGGAAGGAGGGCTCTGTCCCATCTTCCTGCCCATCAGCTCGAATGCTTGGGAGAGGGGAGGGGAGGAAGGGAAGGAAGAGCAGTGTGCGTCATGGTGGTTTTGCCGCACTTTTGAGAACCACCTTATCTCAAGAGTTGGTTCTGCGGGACGATGTATGAGATGGCGGGGCGGAAGGAGGGCTCCCCCATCTTCTTGACCATCAGCTCGAACGCCTGGGAGAGGGAAGGGGAGGAAGGGAGGGAAGAGCAGTGTGTGTCATGGTGGTTCTGCTGCACAATGTATGTGATAAAAGGCGGAAGGACAGCTCCCCCATCTTCTGCCCATCACCTCGAATGCCTGGGAAGGGGCATAAGGGGGGGGAAAGGGTCAAGGTGCAAGGGACGAAGTGGAGAAGGGGTGACGGAGGGCAGATGGGAAGAAGGGAAAGGGAAAGAGGAGAATCGGGAAAGGGGGAAAGAGGAGAAAGAGGGAAGGGTGGGATGAGGGAAAGGAAGGAAGGGGCGATGGGAAAAGGCGAAAGGGATGAAGTGGGGAAGGATGGAAGGGAGGGAAGTAGGAAAGGATGGCAGGGAGGGAAGGCGGAGAGAAAGGGGAAAAGGGGAAATCATGCCACAAATGATGTGTGCACATGCCACTGCCACCTACTCGCTCACCCTCCGTTCATCCACCCAACAGTGCATCCCTCACTCTCCCTCCGTTCATCTACCCATCTGCCTCCTTCCCTCTCCCTCCCTACATCCACCCATCTGCATCCCTCCGTCTCCCTCCCTTCATCCACCCATCTACATCCCTTGCTCTCCCTCCCTTCATCCACCCATCTGCATCCCTCCTCACCTTGCGGAAAGCCTGAAGCTCTGCCGCGCCCACCGATGGAAACTGCGACTCGCTGATGCCGTCCCTGTGAGGAGAGGCGAGAACAGGTGAAAGTGCCACAGACAGAGATACAGGTGAAAGTGGCACAGATACACAGGTGAGAGCAGCACCATTGGAACGCCTGCAGCTCTGCCGCGTCCACCGATGGAAACTGCGACTCGCTGATGCCATCTATGTGAGGAGAGGCGAGCAGGCAGGAGAGCAGCAGAGAGGGAGGAGAGCAGCAGAGAGGGAGGAGAGCAGCAGAGAGGAAGGAGAGCAGCAGAGAGGGAGGAGAGCAGCAGAGATGCAGGAGAGCAGCAGAGATGCAGGAGAGCAGCAGAGATGCAGGAGAGCAGCAGAGAGGGAGAAGACACAGGATGACTACAAAGGGGAATGCACCAAAGAAGCACAGAAGCAGAGGACTCACATGCGAGCCACTTGAGGCGCCTCAAAACACGCACATACCCGGCCCCCCCTGCGCATGCGTGTTCACATACTGATGCACGATGATGCGCTTCTGCCCATTCTTCTTGGCGTTGCCAGATATGAGGCGCCTCAAACACGCACATACCCAGCCTGCCCTGCTTGTGTTTGCTCACCGGTACACAATGATGTCCTTCGGCCCTCTTCTATTCAATTGCCAGTTTGAGACGCGTCAGAACACGCATATAGGCAACCGTGCTCATCATGCATGCGTGCTCACCGGTACACGATGCTGCACTGTGCCCCCATCTTGTTGGCGTTGCCAGCTATTAACGTGCGTCAAACACACACATACCCAGCCTGCCCCTGCTCAACCGTGCTCAACCGTGCTCAACCGCACTCACCGGTACACAATGATGCGTAGGGGCCCACACCTGTTGGCGTGAGTCAAACATGCACATACCCAGCCTGCCCCTGCTCAACCGTGCTCAACCGTGCTCAACCGCACTCACCAGTACACGATGATGCGTAGGGGCCCACACCTGTTGGCGTGAGTCAAACATGCACATGCCCAGCCTGCCCCTGCTCAACCGTGCTCAACCGTGCTCAACCGTGCTCAACCGCACTCACCGGTACACGATGATGCGCTCGGGCCCACACTTGTTGGCGTTGCCGAAATCGTTCATCAGCTCACTGCACCGTGTTGGATTGGATGCACACGGAGATAGGCGTAGAGAGCATGACGTGGGGGCGAAAGGAGGGCGAGGAGGGAGGGATCAGGGACCGAGAAAGGAGGTACACAATGAATCACGCCATGTTGTTGGCCCCACCAAAATCGTTCATCAGCTCACTGCACCGCGTTGGCTGCACACACGCAGACAGAGGTAGAGAGCAGGATGTGGGGTCGAAAGGGGTGTGATGAGCAGCGAATTTTCTTTCAAAATTTCTAAGATTTTCCCAATTCTTTCAAAATTCTTCTTGCTCCGGAATTTAAACAGCGAACAAAGACAGCGGGGCAGCAAAAGGCTCCCAGGAAAACAACCACAACATGCTGCTACGCACCAAAGCATGCCGCCAGTGGCCGATTCCGGATCAAAGAGGCCAAGAATGGTCTCCTGCCTCCTGTGCTGTGCTCGCACCCGCACGGCGTACTTGCTGGCATGGGGGTCCATGGTTGCAACCACCTGGTGGGGGGATGCGGGGAGAGATAGGGGTTTAGGCGTACTTCAAATTCTGTTCAACAGGCACCAAGAATGGTCTCCTGCCTCCTGTGCTGTGCGCGCGCCTGCACAACGAGCCTGCTGCTATGATGGTCTGTGATTGCAAACACCTGGTGGGGGGATGCGGGGGGAGACGGGGGTTTCGGCGTACTTTAAGAATATCCTCGAAAGACACCACGAATGGTCTCTTGCCTCCTGTGCTGTGCGCGCACCCGCAGGGCATACTTGCTGGCATGATGGTCCATGGTTGCAAACACCTGTTGGGGGATGCGGGGGGGATGGGGGTTTAGGCGGACTCGAAAATCTGCTAAAAAAGCACTATGGTCTTCTGCCTTGTGTGCTGTACGCGCGCCCGCACGGCGAACCTGCTGCCGTGAGAGTCCGTGGTTGCTTTTGAGTCCGTGGTTGCTTTTGAGTCCGTGGTTGCTTTTGAGTCCGTGGTTGCTTTTGAGTCCGTGGTTGCTTTTGAGTCCGTGGTTGCTTTTGAGTCCGTGGTTGCTTTTGAGTCCGTGGTTTCTTTTGAGTCCGTGGTTGCTTTTGAGTCCGTGGTTGCTTTTGAGTCCGTGGTTGCTTTTGAGTCCGTGGTTGCTTTTGAGTCCGTGGTTGCTTTTGAGTCCGTGGTTGCTTTTGAGTCCGTGGTTGCTTTTGAGTCCGTGGTTGCTTTTGAGTCCGTGGTTGCTTTTGAGTCCGTGGTTGCTTTTGAGTCCGTGGTTGCTTTTGAGTCCGTGGTTGCTTTTGAGTCCGTGGTTGCTTTTGAGTCCGTGGTTGCTTTTGAGTCCGTGGTTGCTTTTGAGTCCGTGGTTGCTTTTGAGTCCGTGGTTGCTTTTGAGTCCGTGGTTGCTTTTGAGTCCGTGGTTGCTTTTGAGTCCGTAATTGCTTTTGAGTCCGTGGTTCCGTGCTGCCTCAAAAGCAGACTAAAAAAAAAACCTGCTGCCATGAGGGTCCGTGGTTGCAACCATCTAATTGGGGGGATGCGGGGGAGATGGGGGTTTAGGCGGACTCGAGATTCCGCTTAAAAGACACTGAATGCATGCATGCATGCGTGCATGCACGGATGATAGCTGCATGCATGCATGCGTGTATGCACTGGTGACAGCTGCATGCATGCGTGTATGCACGGATGATAGGTGCATTCATGCGTGTATGCACGGATGATAGCTGCATGCATGCATGCATGCGTGCACGCATTCCTATGCACTCACTGCATAAACAGGGGGAGCAAGGCCACCTGGAGTGCCATGCAGACCGAGCTGAGACATAGATGCATCCGTTGATGCTGCCAAGCCGTCGGTGCGTGTGTGTGTGCGTGCCCTGTGTGCATCGACAGTTAATTCTCGTATGCACTCACAGCAGCGATGGAAGAGGCACGGCTGCCCGGAGCACCGTGGGAGACGTCGAGGCCAAAGATCATGGCGGGCTTGCCAGCGAGCGCACGCATGGATGCCCTGACTGTGTCTGTGAGCATGTGATGTGACGAGTGCATGCATGAAACATGTGTGCGCTCACAGCAGCGATGTGTGTTGAGTCGACTCAAAAATCGACTCATCACGCATGCATGAAAAACATGTGTGCACTCACAGCAGCGATGGAAGAAGCGCGGCTGCCCGGAGCGCCGTGGGAGACATCAAGGCCAAAGATCATAGTGGGCTTCACAGCGAGCGCACGCATGGACTTCCTGACTGTGTCTGTCAGCACCCAGTTGACGCCCCTCATCTGATGGTGCAAGTGGTGGGATGAAGCATGGGAAGGGAGGAGAAAGCACCACTTGGTGAGGGGAACATGAGACATGCCGAAGCAGAGCCTTCCCAGCGAGTGCACGCATGGACTTCCTGACTGTGTCTGTCAGCACCCAGTTGACGCCCCTCATCTGATGGCGCAAGTGGTGGGATGATGCATGGGAAGGGAAAAGAAAGAAAGCACATGGTGAGGGGAACATGAGACATGCCCAGGCAAAGTCTTCTCAGCAAGGGCACGCATGGACTTCCTGATGGTGTCTGTGAGCACCCAGTTGACGCCCCAAATCTGCCATGCGAGTGGTGTGACGCATGGGGACAGAGAGAGCCGTATGGGAAGGGATCACTAAGCAATGGCATGGCATGACCATTGCTTCTCACTGAGGGGATGCATGGGCCGCATGATGACGACTGCCAGCACCACAGCACCTAGTTCACTTCCCCCATATCACTTCACTGACTGCCTCAATTTGGATTCCTCATTGGTGGTGAGGCCGCCGCTGCCGAGCACTTGGCTACTGTGGCTGTGATGACTCCCACCGTCAGCACACTCCCCCACCTTCACTAGCACTTCCCCTCTCACCCTCCTCAATTCTCCACCCCTCCTTACATTCATGGTCACCTTGAGCGCCACGTTGGTGAGGCACTGGTCTGGTTCGTGGTGAACAACGTCAAAGCCCATGTCCCCACCTTAAAGCCCCTCGATCTACCCACCTTCATGTTCATCTTGAGCGCCACGTTGGTGAGGTACTGGTCGTTAAAGCCCTTGGGCGGCTGCACAATGCACTGTGTGGGCACGCCAATGCGAGTGTCACACAGCTTCTTGATGGGCGCTGCAGGGGAGGGGAAGGAAATTGAATGGTAGATATGGGTTGAGAGGGGTATTGTTCGTTGAAGCCCTTGCACGCCTGCATGATGCACTGCGCGTGCCACACAGCTTCTTAATGGCCGCTGCAGGGGAGGGGAAGGAGGAGCACACCTCACGGTAGAGATGGGTATAGAGGGGAAGAGACATAAACTCAAGAGCTCCCATTGATTGCCATTGAAAGTTGAACAAATCTGAGAATAATGAGCTTGGGAGAAAGGCTCCCATTGATTGCCATTGATACACATACGGCTTGGACTTCTAGAATCCAGAGAACGAACTTGAGCTTAAAACTCTGAGGATGTGAGGAGGAAAAGGTGAGGGGAGGAGCAGGAGCACAACACAGGAAATCACATACCATACGGCGGGCTGGTCTTGCAGGCGTCCAGGATCCAGAGAATGAAAGAAGGCTTGAATGAATCCTTTTGAGCATTCGATAACCTGCTGTACTACCAGCGCCAGAAGCTGTGCTGACCGCGAGACCTCTACAGCGAATGACTGGCATCCCCACGTACCATAAAGCGGGCTGGTCTTGCGAGCATCCAGGATCCAGAGGCTGATAGCCATCTCTCCACCAGCGGTAGCTGCTGTGACATGCCATACAATACAATGCATGGCATGCAATGCAACAACAAACGAGTAACATCCCCACGTTACCACGTACCATAGAGCGGGCTGGTCTTTCGAGCATCCAGGATCCAGACAATGAAAGCAGGCTCGGATTTCTTGAGGCGCTCGATAGCCCGCTCCACCAGCTTCTCAGGGGGTGCTGACCGCGTGTCCTCCACGATCACCACTGGAGAGGCGCTGCTGATGACCTGAGAGGCAATAGGAGAAGGCAGCGGGCTTTAATTTCGCCAGGCGCTCGATAGCCCGCTCTACCAGCTTCTCAGGGGGCGCTGACCGCGTGTCTTCCACAATCACCACTGGAGAGGCGCTGCTGATGACCTGAGAGGGGGATGAGGAGGGTGGCCGAGTGCGTGTCCACTTATCTGTTTCCTCCTCTTTTCTGTGTCCTCTACAATGACCTCTGGGTGCCTGTTGATGACCTCTGGGTGCCTGTTGATGACCTCTGGGTGCCTGTTGATGACCTCTGGGTGCCTGTTGATGACCTCTGGGTGCCTGTTGATGACCTCTGGGTGCCTGTTGATGACCTCTGGGTGCCTGTTGATGACCTCTGGGTGCCTGTTGATGACCTCTGGGTGCCTGTTGATGACCTGAGAGGGGGAGCAGGAGGGTGGCTGAGTGTGAGTCGTCTTATCTGTGTCCTCCTCTCCTCGAGCATCTCTGGGCGGCTGGTGATCACCACAGAGGGTAGGTGGGTGGTGGTGCAATGAGGTGGGTGCGATGAGGTGGAAGGTAGGTTGATGGTGCTCAGAGCAGAGTTGATGGGCACGACCTTAAATCAAGAAACGATTGAGCATCCTGGAAAAAAACAATCGGAAGAACGTGACCAAGAAGACAAAACAAGAACCAAGAACAAATACAAGCAAACAAATCAACCAATAACAAAATCAAGATACCAGCTGAGAGAGAGAGCATCAGGAGAAGTTGATTGGTGGGTCGTCAAATTGGGTGAGTCGAGCCCGGGCCGGGGTTTAGCGCAGTCGGACTTGTCTACCTGTTTGATTGCTTGTACGCATTGCTTGTTTGTCAGCAACAAGTGTATTGCAGTACACTCACCAGCCCTTTGCGACCGCAGCAGTCCCTGAGTGCAGTTGCCACCTGCATGGGCTCCCTCACGCGGTGGTCGAAGCACACCACCGCCCACGACTTGATTTCGGCCGGTGCAAACATGCGCTGCACACAGCAAGGGCGGGGCATGCGTGAGAGATAGATAGATAGAGGACACGAGGGATGGAGGGTGAGTGTGAGCGTTGTTCCGGCATACTTGTTAGAGCGGGTCCCTCACTCAAGCGGTGGTCGAAGCATAGCACCGCCCATGTGCTGATTTTGATCGGCTCAAACATGCACAGCACATGGCAAGGGCGGGTGAGGGAGGAGGTCAGGAGGGGCAGAGGGTTTGGTTGAGGGTTGAGTGAGCAGCACTTGTTGCAAGGAGGCTCTTGCTCCTCACGCGGTGGTCACGCGGGTTATTTGGGGGGGTTGAACACTCACAAGCATGCGCTGGGGAGGGGAAGAGGGATGGAGGAGGGGGATAGGAAGGAAGGAGAAGGTGTTGAGAAAGAGGCAATGAGGGGAGGGGTAAAGCACACATGGCGGTGACCTTATGGCCCTTAAAAGCCCTTAGAATTTCACCTGCTTATTCATAATGAACTGCCTCTTGCCTGTTTGATGTTGCCTCTCATCAGCTAGTTTATGTTCCACTGCCCCTTGCATGACAATTCACGCTCCTACGACTGCCCCTCACCTGCTGGTTCATATTCCACTGCCCGTCTCGAGGCTGCATAGTGCCCGCCCCGAACTGCAGCTGCAATAGGAACAGCGAGAGCAGGGAAAGCAGGGAAAGCAGGGAGAGACCCAACAAGCAACAAGCGTGGAAGAGGTTGAGTCGATTAATAACACCACAACATCTCGAGGCTGCATGGTGCCCCGCCGAATGCAGCTGCGATGGGAACAGCTGGGATGGGAACAGACAAAGCAGGGAGTTGGACATGACAGAACGAAAGCTGTTCTCGAGGCGCCTAAAATGGTGCCTCAACTCATGCCTACAGCATTACCACCATGCTTTCAGCATTACCACCATGCTTTCAGCATTACCACCATGCTTTCAGCATTACCATCGTGCTTACAACATTACCACCTAAGTGGACATGGAACGTCCGATATGCTAGCGTCCAGATGCTAGCATATCTACGCAAGACGCTATGATTTCCAGGCCCGGACGCTAGATGTACGCTTGGTTCGAGCAGGCATATTTCCCGGGAATAAAAAGGAGGCGGGAAGGAGGGCAAAAGGGGGGTAGGGTTTATAAGTGGCGAAATACCACACGAATCCAGATTGAAGTCGGAATACTAGAACAATCGAAATTATCAAAAATATATATATATATATATTTGTGAGCTCCCACACACAACCAATCCTGCCACACACACCCTAACCCATCTACGAATACTCTAAGCAAGCACCCAGTTATTCTGCTCCTCTTCGTCCTTCCCCTTTTTTGGGACGAAGCAAGTTCACAATGCGTACATTTCAAAATATATTTTTATCGCGTCGCCAAAAAGTCCAGATGCGCAATTGCACTGCTGGAAGAAGCTCTTGCACAACTTTTTCAGCGGTGTCCATGCGATAAGCGTGTGGCGAGTAGCTGAGGCCAAGCAGGAGCTTGACAGCGATAAGCCGCACACGCGAGTGTATCATGAGTATTTCTTTGATGGTCTCGAGTTTGACAGTGAGGACTTGACTATGTGGTGCCTCTGTCATCCACATGAACTCGACTACGACAAACATTTGGCTGTTCAACAACCTCTTTCCAACATAAAGCCCTTTCCAACATAGAGTCTTTGTCGAACAGCCCCCATGATCGTCGTAGTCCAGTTCATATGGGTGACAGAGGCACCACATGGTTAGGACCTCAGCGCCAAATCCGAGGTCATCAAAGAAATGCCCATGATGTAATCGCACGTGCGGCTTATCGGTGTCAAGCTCCTGCCTGGCCTCTGCTACTCGCCACACACTTATCACGCCTGGACACTATACTGTCTAGCGTGATGTGATGGGATGAGATGGAAGAGAGGGGCACAATGGGAGCATTCTCCTCTGCGTTTTTTCCATAAGCCACCGTCCTGGGCTGCTTGTGATACCAAACGCCTCAAAAGGCTTCCGTTGAAGCTGTGAATATGATGAGATCTCTTGATATTATCCAAGCCCGTAACAAGGCTTGGATCACAGCGGACAGCTCCATCAACCAGCCATAGGCTGGCCGGAAACAGGCCCTGCTGTGAATGTTGGTGTTGCTTTTGAGATTCCTCAAATTCACTGCCATAGGCTGGCCGGAACCAGGCCCTTCTGTTTGTGAATGCCAAAAGCTTCAACATGCAGAATGTATTCTACAAACTCTATAAATATAGGCACTGACCTATAAAACAGGGTTTAGTAGTCATTGCAAAGGGTCATATCATGTCATATCATACCATAGCATGCCATATCATATCATATTATATCATATCACATCATATCATATCATACCATGTCATGTCATATCATATCATATCATATCATATCATATCATATCATATCATATCATATCATACCATACCATATCATGTCATATCATATCATAGCATGTCATCACATTGTCAGTCACCACCATGCCTCTCGCACCACCACCATGCGTACAGCACTACCACCACCATGTCACGAGCATGCTTACAACTGGAGGCTCCAGCTGCCGGCCATCAGCCCGCATCATCCTGGGCTGGATGCGCATTCCAAACGCCTCCAGATAAGGGTTGCTCGCCAGCCCCGCTGCTCCCACCGCCTGCCATGTTCCATGCATGTCATGCCATGCCATGCAATGTCACGTCACCATGCCATGCCATGCATTGCCATCCCATGTCAGTCCAAGTCACCACGCCATGTTGTGCCATGTCATCATAGCATGATGCCATGACAAGCCATGCAAGTACAATAGGAGAGAGGTTGTACCATTTAAGAATGGGGTGAGTATGACAAACATGAGGGGCGAAGACACGTCACATGGGGCAAAGGCAAGGGGCAGAGAGAAGAGATTAAGGGCAGAGAGAAAAAAAAGCAAGAAGCACAGAGAAAGGAGTCAGGGCAGAGAGAAAAGATGCAAGGGGCAGCGAGAAAATATGCAAGGGGCAGAAAGAAAAGATGCAAGGGGCAGCGAGAAAAGATGCAAAGGGTGGAGGGAAAAGAGGCACAGGGTGGGGAGCAAAGAGGCACAGGGTGGAGAGCAAAGAGGCACAGGGTGGGAAGGAAGCAAAGAGGCACAGGGTGAGGGACAGAGCGGCAAGAGGGCAGGGGTTGCGAGAGTAATTTCGATTCCTCGGCACCCACGTTGCTGATATCGTCGCGGCGCTTGTCCGGCTTGAGGCGCAGATTGCCAATGGCTGCCACCTGCTGTGGCGTCAGCTGGCGCAGGTACCTCTGTGCGTCCACCACGCTGCACAGCTGGTGGTGGGAAGGGTGGGGGAGGGAGACGGAAAGACACACGCACACAGGTTTGCTGAGTTGGATCACATGTGTACAGCAGTGGCTGCCACCTGCTGCAGTGTCAGTCGGCGCAGGTACTTCTCTGCATCCACCACACTGTAGAGCTGGTGGAAGGAGAAAAGGGGGTGAGCGGGAGAGGGTGAGAAACACACAGCGAGAGGGAGAGAGATAGCTTGCACAGGCGTCAGCTGGCGCAGGCACCTCTGTGCGTCCACCACGCTGCAGAGTTGGTGGGGAAAGGGGGGGAGCGACACACACGCACACAGGGCGGGGGAGAGAGAGATAGCTTCCACAGGTATTGGCTGGCGCCATCGCCGCCACCTAATGCAATGTCAGCTGGCGCAACCTCTTTGAAAACACCACGGTGCACAGCACAGCTGGTGGGAGCAAGGCGGAAGAGACACACACACGCACACGCGCATAGACGCACGTGCACGTGCGCACGCACGCACGCATCGCGTGTGACAAACAAAGGGAGAGGGAGAGAGAGAGCATGAATAGGTATCGGCTGGCACTGCTAGCTGGCACGGATAGCTGGCACTGATAGCTGGCACGGAGAGCTGGCACTGATAGCTGGCACTGATAGCTGGCACGGATAGTTGGCACTGATAGCTGGTACCGATAGCTGGCACCGATAGCTGGTACCGACAGCTGGCACTGATAGCTGGCACTGATAGCTGGCACCGATAGCTGGCACCTGCTGAGACTCAGCAGGGCATGTTCAGCCGAGTAGAGGCAGATATGGATGAGCAAAGAAACGAACACCTGTTCGGTTCACAGGCTTTTTTTTTAGCTTAAAGTGACAAACGTGTTCGAGGCAGATATGAGCAAACCCTTCCCGCCTTCTGTCAGGATGAGAACACGCTCTATTCAACTAGTAGTCCAGGGTTGTTATCACAGTGGGTGAACCACCACAAGACGTCATTCTTGCCATTCTCATCGGTTTTTTCATTTCGTTATTCTCCTCTTCAAGAGCCTCTCTCTCCTTCTACGCCCAGCGCCGAGCCCGCTGCGTGGCAGTCTAGAGTAATACCCATAGAGCTATCTGACATCTTCGCAATAGTTACGCGATGTCCTCCTTGTTGTTCACGGATGGCTGTCACTTGAGCATAGGACTAGGAAAGCTGTCCTACGAGATGTTATGCACGGGGAGGGACGAATGGAACGAGTCGCTGTTACTTTTTGGCGTGCAGTCCCTGGAATTCGGCGTGCATGACAAACCACGACTGTATACTTACACAATGCCAAACAGTAACAACGACTCGCTCCATTCGTCCCTCCCCGCGCATAACATCTCGTGGGACTGCTTTCCTAGTTCTACGCTCAAGTCGCGGCCATCCGTGAACAACTGGGAGGACACCGCGTAGCTATCGCGAAGATGTCAGATAGCTCTAATGGTATTACCCCAGACCGCCAGGCAGCGGGCTCGGCGCTGGGCGTAGAAGGAGAGAGAGAGCTTTTGAAGAGGAGAATAGCAAAATGAGAACAATGATGGGAATGACAAGAATGATGTTCTGCGGTGGTTCACCCACTGTGATAACAACCCTGGACTACTAGTTGAATAGGGCGTGTTCTCATCCTGACAGAAGGCGGGAAGGGTTTGCTCAAACGTCCCTAGAGGCAGATATGCAAGACAGGAGGGGGAAGTGTAGATTAACGTCGCGATGCCGCTGGTAGTAGCCAGTTGCACTCTGCCACACTCAACTCTGTTGTCTCACCTCGAGCGGAATCCAGCAGGGCTTGTTGGGCCGGTTAGAGGCGGAGATGCAGGGCAGGTGGGGGAAGCGCAGGGTGATGCCGTGCTGCTGCTCGTAATACTCCGCCACGCTCTGGCTCTCGTCGTTATTGCGCCGGTTGTTAAACCTGTCAGTGTTTGTGGAGAGGGGGGTGGATTGACAGGGAAATTGATGGATGGTGCGAGGTATGATAGTGGTGCTGCCGCTCATAGTACTCTGCCACGCTCTGGCTCTCGCCGTTGTAGCGCCGATTGTTGAACCTCTCAGAGTTGGGTGGGAGGGAAGTGGGTGAGAGAGGGAGGGGAGGGGGGGTTGGTGGATGGGGCAGGGAGAGTTGGTAGGGGCTAAGGCTTGTAATACTCCGCCACGCTCTGGCTCCGGTTGTTGAACCTGTCATTGGGGTGGGGGAAGGAAAGGGAGGCGGAGCAAGACCTGTCTTTAAGTTGCCTCGTGACACAGATTCTTATTTATATTCTTTTTAGGCGCCTCAAAAGGGGAGGGGGAGGGGGAGGGGGAGGGGGAGGGGGAGGGGGAGGGGGAGGGGGAGGGGGAGGGGGAGGGGGAGGGGGAGGGGGAGGCGTCTCAGAGGGATTATCCTCAGAGGGAATTGTTCTACTCGATTCAAAAGGAAGGAGCGGTAATGAATGGCAGACGGGGCAGAGCAATGCCCTGCTGACAGCAGTGGGCCACACTGTGAAGTGAAACCACCCATCAATGTGAACTCTACACCACCAAAGCGAATGGTGCTTTTGTGTTTGGTCCTTCTTATGACCACGGTGGTTAAACCACCCACCCAATGGCTCTACTCTGCTCTGCATCCTAATGTTGTAACTGTGTTTGCTGAACCTGAGAGCACTATTCACAACACAAGATGCACCTGCAGAATCACCTAGGCATGAAAAATCACATGGGGGAGGGTGCAAAACCACCTGAGAAGATTCAGAATCAACTGTGGGGTGTGCAGAATCACCAGCAGAGGTGCGAAAGCGCCTTAGCAGCGTATAGAATTGCCTGAAGAAGTAGCAGAATTACCCGAGTTCAGCAGCCCCCTCCCGTGTGAGGTCATACACCACACCTTGTGCTTCTGCCCGCATTGCGGTGATTTTTGAGGCGCCTCAAAAGGTAGAAAACCCACCTGAGGTCAGCAGCCCCCTCGCGTGTGAGGTCATACACCTTGTGCTTCTGCCCGCTGGGCCTTCCCTCCACCATCTGTGCCCTTTAAGTCGACTCAAAGGTGCCCTCATAATCACCTGAGGTCAGCAGCCCCCTCGCGTGTGAGGTCATACACCTTGTGCTTCTGCCCGCTAGGCCTTCCCTCCACCCTCAGGTTCCTGAGAATGCCCTTCAGCTGAGTTTGGGAAAGACGGAAGAGGAGAGGCAATGGCAGGGGGGGCGAGGGGGGAAAAGAGAGGGGCCGGTCGGGGGGGAGAACGAAAGAAGCATGTTGTGCTTCTGCCCTGCCCGCTAGGCCTTCCCTCCACCCTCAGGCTCCTCAGAATGCCCAGCTGCGATGGGGAGAGGGGGAAAGGGGGGGGGGGGGGAACAGCAATTGTTGGGATACATGACAGTACCTTCAAGCCCTGCCTATTCGCTGGGCCTTGCCTGCACCCTCAGGTTCTTCAAGAAACCCTTCAGCTGCAATTGGGAGAGACGGAGGAGGGAGACAGCAGGGGCCATTTGAGGAAGCACCGTGTGTGTGTGTGCCCCTGTCCCCTCGTGTTTTATCTTGACCCTGGAATCTCTTTGCGGCACCTCGGTTAGTAGCAATACCTTGATTCTCTCCTTGAGGCGCCTCAAAAGAGGAGCTACGGGACAAGGGGAGAGGAAACGCCTTGGACAGACAGACAGGAGGACAGAGCGGCACACAGGAAGACAGGCAGGCAGGTAGGCAGGCAAAGAGGCGGACAGGCAGAGAGACAGTGAAGCAGTACCCGGATCCTTTCAGCATTGGGGCGGTTGAGTGTGTCGCGGTTAAGGAGATGCCCTCTGTGTTTGTGCAGCGCATCCAGCACGCACAGGGATGGGGTCCACCATCATGCACGCACACACAAGCAGTAGCATGAAGCCCCATCCATGCACAGCACAGGCGTTACCCTGATCCGCTCCGCGTCGGTGAGGCGGTTGGGCGGGTTGCGGTTGAGGAGATGCCCCAGCAGGTCCAACACGGGGATGAGCTGCACCATGCACGCCGTCACGACGTCTGTGTGTGTGTGAGATGAGAGTGCATGGGAGAAGGAGAGGTGGGGGAATGGGGGGGCACTGGCATGGGCAGTTGTTGGGTGGGTTGCGGTTTAGGAGGGACATGAGGAGGTCCAGCACGGGGATAGGCTGCACCATGCATGCTGTCACGACGTCTGTTTGATGGGAGAATGAGAGGTGGGGGGAATGGGGGGCATGGGAACCAGTTGTTGGGCGGGTTGCAGTTGTGGAGATGCCTCAGCAGGTCTAACACAGGGATGGGCTGCACCATACACGCCGTCACGAAGACTGTTTGATGGGAGAATAAGAGGTGGGGGAATTGGGGGGCACGAGAATGGGGGGGCACGGGAATGAGCGGTTGGGCGGGTTGCGGTTGAGGAGATATCCCAGCAAGTCCGACACAACGATGGGCTGCACCATGCATGCTGTCACAACGTCTGTAAGAAGGTCAGAGTGCATGGGAGAATGGGAGGTGGGGGGGGGGATGGGGGGCACGGGAATGGGCGGTTGGGCGGGTTGCGGTTGAGGAGATATCCCAGCAGGTCCAACACGGAGATGGCTGCACCATGCACGCTGTCACGACATCTGTGCGCATGGTGAGAGTGCATGGGAGAGAGGGAGGAGTGCTATTGCCGAGGGGGACACAGGGAGAGGGAGCAGGTCCAGCACAGGGATCGGCTGCACCATGCACGCCGTCACGACATCTGTAGGATGATGGAGTGCAGGGGAGAATGGAAGGGGGAAGGGGGACACAGGGGAAACGAGGAGGTCCAACCACGCATGCACGTGGATGGGCGGGCTGCAGCAAGCATGCTGTTATGATCTCTGTGTGCAGGTGACATTGACAGGGTTGCACTGGCAGGCTGGTGTCCTATACACACACGGGTTGGCTTTTGAATTGAATAAAGAATCATCTCCAACACGACGATGCATGCATGCATGGGCAGAATCAATCACACACGCCTCAGCGACAGACCCACCCAGGCATGCAGCACAGCACGCACCGAGGATGAGCGCCAGTGCGTTGTGAATGGGTCTGAAGCTGACAATAAGACCCAGCGTGACTGGCATGCAAGCAGCACGCACCCAGGCAAGCACACAGCACAGCACGCACCCAGGCAAGCACGCAGCACAGCACGCACCCAGGCAAGCACGCAGCACAGCACGCACCCAGGCAAGCACACAGCACAGCACGCACCCAGGCAAGCACACAGCAAAACATAATACGCACCGAGGTTGAGCGCCAGTGCATTGTGAATGGGCCTGAAGCTGACATTAAAGCCCGTCCACGCTTCGATGCCCCCTGGGAGAGGGGCCACTCGACCAAAGTTCTTGTCAAAAAACTTGTCCTTGACCAGGAGGAAGCTGCAGGAAAGTGGGGTGGAGCATGGGTGGGAGGAGAGGAAGGGAGCAGAGGGGAGCGGAGGGCATGCGAGTGTTGACGCAATGTCAGCCTAAGCTGTTGTCAAAGAACTTGTCCTTCACCAGGAGGAAGCTGCAGGAGAGGGATAGAGCATTGGTGGCAGGGAGCAGAGGGGCACGCAGGTGTGAGGCAATTTTGGTGCCGCATTGCCAAAGCTCTTGTCAAAGAACTTGTCCTTGAACAGGAGGAAGCTGCAGGAGAGGGGGACAGAGGAGCATGGGAACAAAGAGGGGCATTGGGCATACGAGTGTTCAGTGTTGAGAGAATGAAGGTGCCGCACTGCCACAGTTGCGGTTGAAGAACTTGACTTGAGGTGGGCACAGGAGCAGAGGAGGGCGCGCGTGTGTTCACATCACAGGCAGGGCCGCAGGGAGCCATGGGGCAAAGTGGGCGTCTGTCTGGGTGCATGCATACCGTTGGGCAGCGTAGTCGCGCAGCTTGACATCCATGGCGAAGCCAGGAGCAGAGGGGGTTGCTTGGAGGCATGCAGCAAGGGGCATGCAGCAAGGGCATGCAGCCAGGGGCATGCAGCAAGGGCATGCAGCAAGGGGCATGCAGCAAGGGGCATGCAGCAAGGGGCATGCAGCAAGGGGCATGCAGCAAGGGGCATGCAGCAAGGGGCATGCAGCAGGGGCATGCAGCAAGGGGCATGCAGCAAGGGGCATGCAGCAAGGGGCATGCAGCAAGGGGCATGCGTACCATTGGGCACAGGAGCAGAGGCACGCACAAAGCAGATTATGGGCAATGCAGTGAGCGTACCGTTGGGCAGCATAGTCGCGCAGCTTCACATCGAGAGCGCGGAGGGCGTCCTGGGCAGAGACAGGAGCAGAGGTGACTGGGGTGATGGCAGCCTTGATGGTCGAGAGATCTACCTCCGCTACCTGTGTGTGTGGAGTGGGGAACAGGAGGGGATGATAGTACGGCAAGAACAAGGGAGAGAGGTAGTAGACGTGACTGCTGGGGTGATGGCGGCCTTGATGGTCGAGAGATCTACCTCCGCCACCTGTGTGTGTGGGGGTTGGGGGCGGAGGGTTGAGGGTTGAGGGGCAGAACACGTGTGCATGGGGAAGAATGGAAGGGCTTGGACGGCACCCGGGGCGAAGACAGGAGCAGAGGTGGCCGCTGGGGTAGTGGCCCCGGGCTGATGGTCGAGAGAAGTGAGATGCATCTCACTCGAAATGCATCTCATTTTGGGCTGAGGCGCCTCAAAATGCATCTCACTACTCGTGGTCGCTGGGGTAGTGGCCCCGGGCTGATGGTCGAGAGATCTACCTCCGCCACCTGTGTGTGTGGGGGTTGGGGGCGGAGGGTTGAGGGTTGAGGGGCAGAACACGTGTGCATGGGGAAGAATGGAAGGGCTTGGACGGCACCCGGGGCGAAGACAGGAGCAGAGGTGGCCGCTGGGGTAGTGGCCCCGGGCTGATGGTCGAGAGAAGTGAGATGCATCTCACTCGAAATGCATCTCATTTTGGGCTGAGGCGCCTCAAAATGCATCTCACTACTCGTGGCCGCTGGGGTAGTGGCCCCGGGCTGATGGTCGAGAGATCTACCTCCGCCACCTGTGTGTGTGGGGGGACGGGGGTGGGATACACGCGGGCATGGGGAAGTATGGAACGGGGGCTTGGTCAGTGTAAGGGAGCGGAAGCGTGTGTGGCAAAGACAGGAGCAGAGGTTGCCGTTAGGGTAGTGGCCCCGGGCTGATGGCCGAGAGATCTACCTCCGCCATCAGTGTGTGGGGGGTGGGGAAGGGGAGGGCGTGATAGTAAGGTAATATCAAGGTAGAGGCGGCTGCTGGGGTGATGGCGGCCTTGATGTTTGAGAGAGACAGCTCCGCACCTCTGTGTGTTGGGGGGTGGGTGGGTTTGGGGGTGATGGTAAGGTGGGAACAAGGGACAGGGAGGGACACAGGTGGCAGGGATGATGGCTGTCTAAATGTCCGAAAGAAAAACCTTCGCCGCCTGTGTGTGGGGAGGTGGGGGGGATGATGGCGTGGCATGGTCGTCACATACACACCACCTGCGTGAGACGCCAAGGAAATTTCTCAAACAAGAGTGATGGCAGGCAAACAGGTACCCACCCACCCACCCACCCACCCACCCACCCACCCACCCACCCTCCCTCCCTCCCTCCCAACCACCCACCCACCCACCCACCCACCTACCTGTGTGAGAGTGATTTCCACTTCGTCCTTGATTCGCGGAGGCCTGGAATCTTCCTTGCGCGGCCTCTTCAGTGCCGCCTCCCCGTCATCGCCTCGCGCTGCTGGCGCGGGTCTGCACAGTGAAATGGCAAGCAAGCGGAGAGGCAATGCGGGGAAATATTCAGTCGACACAAGGAATGACAACACGGATTGCCTGCGGCGGCTGAATCTTGAGCGCGCACAGGGGAAACGCTCCTTCTGCTCTCCTCCCTCAAACCCCTCACACAGCTCTCACCACACCCATCACACAGCTCTCACCACACCCATCACACAGCTCTCACCACACCCATCACACGAGCTGGTTTTTGAGAATTCTCAAAAACCACCCATCACACGAGGTGACTTTTGAGTCGACTCAAAAGTCACTCACCGCACCCATCACACAGCTCTCACCGCTCGTCAGGGAATGACAGGATGGAATGCCTGCACCGGCTGAATCTTGAGCGCGCACAGGGAAAAGAAGCTCCCCACCCATCCACCCGAGAATCAACCAACCCCACCCCCCGGCCCCTGCACACACGCACTTACCAGCCGTCCTTAATCACAACATGGAACGCCTGTGGTGACTGAATCTTCAGCACACAGGTAAACGAGCTCTCCACCCACCCCTCCACCTGTGCTTCCCGCAACCCCTGTCTGCCCCTTAACACATGCACTCACCGCTCGTCCAGAATCTTGATAGGGAACGACTTGGGCGATTGGATCTTGAGCGGGCGCAGGGCAAAAAGCTCCCCAACCCTCCACCCGCTTCTCCCCCAACCCCCTTCCCCTTTCCCCACGCACACAGACGCACAGCACTCACCGCTCGTCCAGAATCTTGATAGGGAACGACTTGGGCGACGGGATCTTGAGCGGGCGCAGGGCAAAGAGGGCGCTCTGGCCGTCGTATGCCAGTTGCTTGAGAGTGTCCTCGGGGAAGGTCTCAGGGTGCTGGGCGTACATGACCTTCATCATTGCCCTCCGCACCACCATGCTGCGCACATCTTTCGAGAACCGCACCTGGAGGGCGGACATGAGAAGGGGAGGGGTGGGAAAGAGAGAAGGGAAAAGGGGGTGGGCGCGTGGGCAAGGTCATAGGCCTGCAGGAAGAGGGCCCTTAAAATTACCATGAAAATAAAAAGGGGGAAAAAAAAAAGCGACAGGAAACAGCAAGAAATTAGAAAGCGACATGTTACTCACGTTGTAGAGGAGAGGCGAGGAGGGGACGACGAGATGCTGCAAGCGAAATGTTACTCACGTCGTAGAGGACGAGAGGCGAGGGGGGGATGCGCAGATCCTTTTTGAAGATATTCAGCAGAACCTTCACGGGCCTTTGGGTCAATTTAACAGTAACCTGGAAGTGTTACTCACATCGTAGTGGGCGAGAGGATCCGAGGGGATTCGCATATCCAACCTGAAGAAATTCACCAGAACCTTCACGGGTCGACCCAGCGTGCCGTACTTTGCGTTCGTGGGCCGACCAATTAGCTCCATCGGCTGAACATCGGGGGCAGCAGCAGCGGGAATGAGAGCCGTGTTGCTCGGGCCAGCTACCGGCTGCTGCTCGGAAGCCTGGCTTGAACCGCCAGCCGTTGATGTAGACGGTCCCGGGCCTCCAGACGAGCTCATGTCGGGATTTCGAAGATTACACTCAGGAATCTTATATTATCTGTGACGAATTTGCGAATCTATAAGCTCTGTTAGTTTCCTAATCTGCTCCACGACATGAGACAGCAACCTGAATTTGTTGCCGCGGATTGCCCAATGAAGCAAGGGCTGAGCGGCAGCGGTTTCGGCGGAGGGGGGATGATTTCAGCGGAGGTTCAAAGGGCGCGCAGTGTGGGGCTGTTGGAGAGTGTTCAGTTCGGTGAGTTGTGTGAGGTGTCAGTCTGGTCTTTGGGGGTTCTGCATTTCCGGCGCTGGATTCGCATCCCAACAGCGCGATCGGCGAGGCGCAACTTCCATCTCTAATTGTACTCCGCGCTCAAACTCCTGCTGGGAATGCGGAGTAGAAGTCGTGGAAAGTGTTTACAGGAATCAGGTTGAATAGAATAATCCTACGGTATTTGAACGCCACACCACACGCCCCTGTAATCAACGTTGTATAATCTTTACAATCTAGCTTCCTTTTATTTTGCAGAAAGGCGAGAATGTATCCTCTAACCCACATCTGGTTGCAAGGCCTTCTCGTTTCTGAGTGACAACTATTGTAATTTTCCAAAAAACAAGAAAATGTCACTAAAATTGGAGGCACATTGGACTGGCAAAACGCATCTTTAGCACTTAACCTCCTTCAGACCATCCTTGAAATAGATGAAGGTGGGATTGGCAGCACCATCCTTGTAGTAAGCATAGGCAATCGAGCCTTCCAAGTTCATGCTCTCACCAACAAAGCTGCACCAGACAATCAAGCAACGCATTGAAAATTGGAGGGAAATAAGTCGAGAAGAGCAAGCTGATGACTACGAGGCTATGAAAAAGGGAACTGGTAAGGGGGGGTGGGGAAGGGAATAGACGAGGGAGTCGGAGAAGTTTCAGGCTAAAAAACGTACAACTGCAGGTCAGCGAGCTTGGACATGAGCCACTTGACAGCGGCGGGTGAGTCCGCCCTGAACTGCTGCCCCCTCTCAGCCGGAATCAGGCCAGCGAGTTTCTGGACGTAAACCTTCAGGTAAGCGGCGAACGCCTTCTTGTCGAACGCTGGTTGCTCCTGCACTTAAAAACGCATTGAGATGCGGATGCAGGGGATGGCGTCAGCTACCCAAAAATAGTGTAGACGAAGGTGACGATGTCAAGTACATGAAAGATTAACCCTAAATGGCTTAACCCTGAACGTTATCCTAAATCCATGAATTGCTAACCGGTCCTGTTGACGTGCCTGTAGTCTGAAGGTGTCGACGATATCCACAACCTTCTCAGTCTGCTCCTCCACAGCCTCCTCCTCGCCACCCTCAGCAGAGGGGTTGGCTCCGATGTCCACCTCAATACCACCCTTCACCACCCACTGCACAATCATCCAGACGACGACCACACGTTAGCGACACGCGACCAGTGGGTGCTGTCAAAAATGATAATTTTCATTCAGATCGCACCTTCCCCTCGACTTCATAGAAGATGCCATTGTGGATCTCCTTGGCCTCAAAGGAGTCGGACAGCAGCTCGTCACCTAACGATCGGCGCATTACACATTGAAGGAAAATCGAATTGTCATACTATGAAGGCAAAAAAAAAAAAAAAAAAAAAAAAAAAAAAAAACGTGTGTATGTTAATTGGACAACCAATCTTTACGACGTACCAGAGATCAGATCCTGATAGACCAACATGGCTGCTGACGGAAGTGCGTGTAAAGAAGGTGGGTTCTAAGGACGAACAAAGGTGCTAGGTGCTGAAAGCCCTAAGCCGCTGCAGGCAGAGAGCGACTAAAAAGTGGAAATTATGGCGGTTGGACCTAGATCAACCCTAAGGAGGATGGTTGACACGGAAAGTGCCAAGCTGAGCGATCAGCGACAAGAAAGAATATTCCTGTTACATGGTTGGACAATGTAATGTCTACAGTATATAATGTAAAGTTTACCTTATGATGTGCAAATGGAGTTCAGTGAATATATGTGTAAGTTCCTCAATTGTATTTCTGAAACTTAAATTTCTCATGAAATTCTGATATTTCTCAACCAAAACATAATATATCCCTGAATACAAATAACATGTGAGGACTACTTAGAATTGTTGTACGTAATGTTGGAGTGTTCTAATTGTATACGTAAAAGTGGCAGGGGAAGCACTATCTAGAGGTTGGAAGACCATCTCCATTACAAAACTTTTTTTAAATCTCTACGCATATGTACACAACCATCTTGATGAGCTGGTACCGGTACTCTCCTTCAAGTACTGTTGAAAATACAGCAAATGAGTAGGTTATACAAGCGTTGTGCTTGCTTGAACTTTGTGTTACAAAAACAACGCTCCATACCGCATCAGCCAATGTGCTGGCAAATTTCCGTGTTACTGTTTACCTTCCCCACGCTTTGACTGACGCGTCAAGTTTCGTCTCCCATTTTCAACACCCTGTCAGTGAAGTTGTACGACCAAACCTCTGTGAGAGCTTCCGAACCTACAGTACAACACTAACCTACCAAGGCCAGCGAACAAACCAGATCCAGACCTGAAGCCCAGGTTCAAACTAGTTTGACTCGAGTTTCCCATTTTCCTGATAAACCAAGCTCCTGTTAGTTTGACGTTGCTATCAATGGTCAGCGGCTTCCCTTACATTCACACACCAGTAGCTCACATACCATCCTAAACTTCAGCTTCTAGACTAGAAACCAGCTGCAGGAAGGAAACCATTTTTTCATCATTTAGATCGTCTGTAAGCACGATACCAGCCATGGCAGTCAGAGCGCTCGTCCTCGCGTGCGTGCTCCTCCTCGTGTCGACGTCCGCCTTGGCGCAGCGTGGTCCGCCAGGCGGAGGTCCCCCCGGAGGTCAGCGCGGAGGCCCTGGCGCCGGTTCTAGCGGACCCGGCGGTCCCGGCGGACCTGGCAGACCCGGCGGTCCCGGCGGTCCCGGCGGTCCCGGCGGGCCTGGCGGGCCTGACGGACCGCGCGGTCCTCCGCTGAACCTGACGGCCGTCGGGAATCTGACGGCCGATATCGGCGCGCAACTCGCCAAGTGTACCGCGGACCAGGCGATCGTTAACGGCAGCTTCCACCTCGCCATCTTCAAGAACTCCACCGGCAATTACAACCTGCTGGTCGAAGCTCTCCTTGTCGACGCGGCGGGCAGTCCGCCCGACTCGCTGGCGATCGTGAAGGGCGCCGTGTGCGACGCCGCCGCGACGGACGTGCTCGCGCTGCCGCTCGCCGCGGCGGACTGGCAGCAGCGCGCGGGGTGGTGGCTGCTGCACGCGGAGGCGCGCCTCGACGCGTTCCTCGAGAACGCGGACGCCGCCACCCTCGACGCGCTGCTCGCCGTGCTCCCCACCGCCTCGCCTCCGCCCACCAGCAGCGGCGGGCGCAACGGCGGCGGCAGCGCCGGCGGGGCGGGGGGCAGCGCGGGGGGCGCGCGGAACGGACAGGGCGGGAGGCGCATGGGGCGGGAGCTGCTGACGCGCTCATTCGGGCTCGCTGCCAGGCAGGGGGGACAGAAGCAGGGGGGGCAGCAGCAGGGGGGAGCGCGGCAGCAGGGGGGAGCGCAGCAGCCGCCTGTAGTGAGCGGGTATGCTGTGCTGGCGGGCAGCAGCGCAGCAGGTGTGACGTGGGGCGGGCAGCTCATGGGCGCCAAGACGCCCGCCGCTGCTGTTTAAAGCGCGCATCTCGCACTGCCGTGCTCCTGCTGATGCTGCTGCTGCTGCTTCCGGTGCTGCTTGATGTGACGACGGTTAAGTCATTGCCGGTGCTGCTACTGCTGGTTTGGGGGGTTTGAACCCAGCCTGTTGCACGCTCCAGCCGTGGTTGTGATGGGCCGCCTTGAGGGCTTCCTAGCTGTGTGGCTGGATAGGCTTGCTCTAGCTTTGCTCTGGTTCATGCTATGATAGGTCAAAGCATCAGAGGCAGGAATGCTGGCAAGGCATTAGGAAACACCAGCTGACTTGCCAGTCTTCCTACCCCTGATTGTTCCTCATGTTAATTGCTGTGAGTATGTGGTGTGACTGGTGTCGTTTGGATTATCTGTAATTGTTATTGTCGAACATTTTCCAAGTTATAAGTTCACATGAAAGTGCAGCTGCACTCTGAGTAACGAATAACAAGAAAGCAACACATGTAAGCATCGGTAGGGTGTATGTTCTTAGTGTACCAAACTAGCCGCAGTGGCCAAAAGTTCTTAGGTCGCATCGCTTTTGTAGTAGGCTGGAATACGTGCCCACACCCAAGCTTTCCGTGTTCGTCTCGCTCTGACGCAGGATTCAGGAGATAGAACCTAGTAGACTAAGGGCGAAGTCAGGTTGTACACATCCCGCAGATGTTCAGTTCTTGTATCGTGGCTCAAAATGGTTCCACACGGTTAGAAGCGGTTCTGCAGGCTGACCGTGACAAAACGAGTTGAGCGTACAGAAGGTGTACAACCTGACGTCGCCCTAAGGTCGTCAGCAGCGAACCACCCTAAGCAGGTTCAATCCTTAGTAGGCGTTCATGTAGCGACTTCAGCAATGGCGATCTCACGTATGCAAGTACCGCCAGATTCGCCGTGTGCTTGATTTCATCCCCCTACGGTCCTGTTCGTGTATCCGATCGGCTTATAGCGGGAAAGCCGTCGTAGGGAAGACGACGCAGCAGATGACGTCAGTGTGATTCAAGCGGGGAGCGCGAATGTCGCGGGTGGAAAAAGCGGAAGCGGAAGGGGAGGGGGAGCGGTTATTGGGAGCGAGATGGCGGGCGGCGGAGGATTCCGCACGAAAGACTGGCGGAGGAGCCGGGGGAGGGGACGCGTTTAGCGGCGATAATGCAGTATCGCAGATAATGGCATCAGTGCATAGCGGTGACATGACGAGCCGAGAGGCGGATAGTCTTCTGGAGAAAGGAGCCTATAACGGGACGAGCAATAGCGAGTACGGGGACGGGCAGGAGACTGTAACGGGGGGAAGAAGCGCTGCGCGGATAAGGGAGGCGATGCTGCCAGCAGTAGGCACAGAGAAGGGTGTGCCACGTGGCGTGGTAATATTGGTTGTCGTTTTCCTGGACCTGTTTGCAGTGGGCATGGCCATGCCCCTCGTTACGCCGCTGATTAAGGAGCTAGGTAAACTACTTAAAAATCAGATTCAGCGGTTCCTCTGCTTGCGGATTCCATCCATTGGCCTCTGGATTTCGCATCTGAACAAGTTACCTTTCCCTGCACCTTACCGTTGCTGCTAAGCCAATGGTCCAACGTCGGCTCTTCTTTTGCATCTACTGCCCCTCCTGCCCGCTTAACCCCTGCCCCTTCCCCCTCCCTGCCCCTACTCCTTGCCGTCCTCGTCCTCTTCCTCCCTGCTCTTCCCGTACCCGGTGCACTGCCTCTGAACCCTCTGTCCGCGTTAGGAGCGTCTCCTTTACAGGTCGGCTTCCTCTCGTCCACATACGGCGCTGTGCAACTCGTTACTGGGCCATTCTTTGTAAGCCAGCCAACCTCACATCCTCCTTTATGCTCTCCTCTCACCCTGAATAACGAGCACTTTTGAACATCTCACTTGCTCTCAATATAGCGGCTTGCTTGCTGGTCGTGGCTTGAGTGTTACCTAGCCTAAAAGGCACACCGATCGCCCTTTTTCCCTGCTCCCTCTCTCCTTTGCTCTCCGCGTGTCCTCTCAGGGTCTGCTGAGTGACAGCATGGGCAGGCGGGTTGTAATTCTGGTGTCATATGCTGGCGCAGGGGCGAGCTATTTATTGTTGGGGCAGAGCAACACTGTCACGGTGAGAGAAACACGACGCAGCACGAGTATGAAGGATTTTCATCTCTCGTTGTTGTGTGCATCTCTCACTTCCCATGCACATTAGCACTCTTTCCTTACATGCCCTCTTGCAAGTGTAAATTTGTTCGGCTTGTATTTCATTCGGTTTTACTTTGCGACTTGGCGTTTCTTTCAGTGTCGAGTCTCCTTTGAACCTCCTTTCGGACTCCTCAAAACGCAATGCTCTCTACACTTCCTTTTGCCCTCCTATGAACATTCCTTCGTTCGAAACCCTCCAAACAACCTTTGGAACTTCCTCTTCAATCTCCCTCCTAACCCATTTGGAACTTCCTTTGGTGGTGGTCTCCCGTGTGCTTACTGGGCATCACGAAGCACAGCATGAACGCAGTCCAGTCAAGGCGTATGTGGTGTGCCCTCCTTGCAAACCCACTCCTTCTGTGATCACCCCTTTGAACTACCCCCGCTCTCCCCCCCCCCCCCGCGCCCTCCATTCAGATGGTGGTGATCTCGCGTGTGCTACTGGGAATCACCAAGCACAGCATGAATGCAGTCAAGGCGTATGTGGCAGATCACACCACAACCACCAACAGAGCCGTCGAGTTGGGCAGGTGAGGCTTGGAGTTGTGCAGGTGAGACTCTTGCTTCGTTGGGCCATCCCATGCTGTGCCATCCCATGCTGTGCCATCCCATGCCGTGCCATCCCATGCCGTGCCATCCCATGCCGTGCCATCCCATGCTGTGCCATCCCGTGCCGTGCCATCCCATGCCGTGTCATCTCCTCCTGCTATCGCATGGGCATGGGCATGGGCATGGGCAATGTACACAGCTACTGCCCGTCCACCTTACTGCCTATCGAGCTTTCGAGTGGATTCTTTCTCCAGCAACAACAGCATCAGAACCAAGCATCATATTGGGCCCTGCTGTTTTTTCCCCTTTAACCCTTTCCTTGCTGACTAGCCACCTCCCTCGCTGTCTCTCCACCATTCTCTAACTCCACATCACTTGAACAGGATGGCAACAGCATCCGCACTAGGCATCATGGTCGGCCCTGCCGTGGGTGGCATGCTATTTAAAGTAAGTGTTGCTAAGATAAGCCTCTGTATGCTATTCAAATCAAGTCTTGCTAGAATATACTGCTGCCTTCATGTTTGGGCAGGGCTCGCACATGTGTTCCTCGTATCTCTCTTTCGGCCCCTCTCCCCTCCACTCCCCATCTCTCTTAACCCCACCCTTCCAGCCTTCGCCTCACTACCTCGCATTTTCTCGCTCCTCATCCCTCGTTTCTCTCTCCAAACCCCTTTTCCCCCTCCATCACTTTTCTCCATTCTCCCACCCGCTTCTTACGCTTCGCCCCCGTCCTCCCCCACACCACAGGCAGGTAGTTATCCGCTCCCAACAGCAGCAGCAGCGCTTCTCTACGCTATAAACTCCTTCATCATTGTGACACGCCTGGAAGCGCGGCAACACCTTGCCGAATCTACACCACATGTATCCAAGAGAGCACGGGTGCTTTCACTGCAAGGACTCTTCCCCAATGTAAGCCGCTCTCACCTCTCAATCTCTTTGCCTCTCATTCCTTCACCACCACATGTATCCAAGAGAGCACGGGTGCTTTCACTGCAAGGACTCCTTCCCAATGTAGGCCTCTCTTTCCCGTCATTCTTTTCTTCTCCTCTTACTTCTCTCCCCTTCTTTCTTCTCAGAACTCACTCCTCTGTTTTATCTATCTGCCTTACTCTCCTCCCCTCTCTTCGTCCCGTTGCTTTCCTCCCGTCGAGCGTGTGGCAGCACTGATAACAGTGCGGGCGGTGCTGAGTCTGGTAGCGCGTCACTTTAGATGCGCTGACACCCATCGTCTCTCACATCTCCTCTCCTGTCGTCCCTCCATTCCTCCCATCCTTCCGTCCCCTTACTCTCAGGTCGCCATTTTGACTCGACCCGGAGTGGCAGTGCTAATGGCAGTGCGTGCATTGCTGGGGCTGGCAGTGCATCACTTCAAATGCCCTCGCACCCATCATCCTTCTCTTTGTCCCTCCTGCCGTCCATCCCATCCTTCCTTCCCTCTTCCTCTCAGGTGGCCATATTGATCTGGCCCCGAGTGGCAGTGCTGGGGCTGGCTGTTCATAATTTCAAATGATCTGACACACTTCGTCCCTCCCATCCCATCCATCCTTCCTTCTCACGTCCTTCCTTTGACTCGCCCCCGAGTGGCAGCAGTGATGGCGGTGCGGGCAGTGCTGGGGCTGGCAGTGCATCTCTTCGAGTGCACTGACACCCTTCGTCCCTCTCTTTGTCCTTCTCATCATCCCTCCCTCTTCTTCCCTTCCATCCTTTCTCCCTTCCCCCAAAATTCCATATTGACTAGCCCCCGAGTGCCAGCGCTGATGGCAGTGTGATGGCTGGCAGTGCATCTCTTCAAATGCGCTGACACCCTTGCCCCTCCCATGGTCCCTCTTCCTCCCTTCCCACCTTACTTACTCGCGTCCATCCTTCCTCCCTCTTACTCCCAGGCCGCCATATTGACTCGCCCCCGAGTGGCTGCGCTAAGGACAGTGCGGGCAGTGCACCTCTGTCACTGCGCTGATACCAGTCATTCCTCCCTCCCTTCCATCCTCCCTGCCTTACTCCCAGGCCGCCATATTGACTCGCCCCCGAGTGGCTGCACTAATGACAGTGCGGGCAGTGCTGGGGTTGGCAGTGCACCTCTTTCGGCAGGGCTTCTCTCTTCTCCTCATCTACCGCCTCAACCTCCCCGTTCACACCAATGGGCTGCTGCTCTCCCTGCAAGTGAGTGGTGATGACAGGTAGTGGGTGGTGATGAGTGGTGGTGAGTGGTACATGCTGCTGGTGCTGTGCCCTAGCCAGTGCAAGCGCCTGCTGGGGCTAGTTCCGCCAGGGCTTCTCGCTGCTCCTCATCTACTGCCTCAACCTGCCCGTGCACACCAATGGACTGTTGCTGTCGTTGCAAGTGAGTGATGGTGTGTGGTGGTGAGTGGTGCATGCTTGTGAGTGGTGAAGTGAGGCTGGGAGTAGTTAATGGTTGGTTTTAAATGTGTCCCCCACCTCTCGTACTTACCTCTTCACATCCACATCACTACATGTGCCCCCTCTTTTTCACATGTTCCTCCCTCAGGGCCTCCTCACATCACTGGTGCAGGGCCTGGCCATCCGTCCTTTGCTGCATCAGTTTTCATAGCCCCTTGTAGCGAGGGTGTTTTTGAGACGTCTCAAAAACACCCTCGCTACACGTGGCCCCTCATGTCAGCCGTCGAGCTTGGCTCCATGTCGCTCTTTCTATGCTGAGACGACTTTTGAGTCGACTCAAAAGTCACATCAGTTTTCATAGCCCCTCATGTCAGCCGTCGAACCTGGCTCCATTTCCCTCTTTCTATGCTCACCCCCCAGGGCCTCTTTACGTCACTGGTACAGGACCTCGCCATCCGTCTCTTGCTGCACTACACATAAGGCACCTAATTCCCTCCCTCCGGGTCTCCTCACATCGCTGGTACAGGGCCCGGCCATCCGCCCCTTAGTTTATTCGCTATCCTCCCCAACCTCTCTTCATGCTCATATCCCCACCCCCCAGGGTCTCCTCACATCACTGGTACAAGGCCTGGCCATCGCTATCCGTCCCTTGCTGCACCGCTTCCCAGAAACGCTTTTGATTCGACTCAAAAGTAATCTTCTCTTTCTCTCCCCACTCCCCAGGGCCTCCTGACATCGCTGGTGCAAGGCCTGGCCATCCGCCCCTTGCTGCGCCGCTTTCCAGAAACGCCTCTCATCTTCCGCGGCCTGCTGCTGCTCTCCCTCACCCTCGCCCTGCTTGCTGCTGCTCCCAGCCTCGTAAGCATCTGCTCTACCGACCTTGTGAATTGTTCCTTCTTGCGGCATGCTCTCTCCATCTGCCTCTTCTGTTTCTCCATCTGCCTCTTCTTCTGCCCCTCATCTAATGCATACTACTTTTCATCCCGCTGCCTCTCACTTCTTGCCATTTTTGTGTGTTTTATGCCCTTTTGTATGCTGAATTTGCTTTCGAGAACTCTCGAATGCCCTTCCGCTCCCGACTCCCCTGACCTACAGCTTTTCCTGATCCTCCTACTACCTCCGCTTGCCCTCTCAACTGGTGTTCTCCGCACCACATACACTGCCCTACTCACAACCTCTGTCGCTCAGAGTGAGGTGAGTAAATAATCATCTGCCCACCACACACCTACTTGTCACCACACACACACACCAGCTGCCACACCACATACACTGCCCTCCTCACAACCTCTGTCGCTCAGAGTGAGGTAAGCCACCTCCCCTCTTTCCCCTCTTCCACACGCGGTGAGTGGAAAGGAAACTACCCCTGTTTAACTGTCAAGTGCTGGTCTCCATTCGAGATTCCAGGCACCATACGCTCTCTTCTCCCATCTCCCTTCCCCACTTCTCTACAACCATCACTTGTTGGGAAGCCAAGCGATGTAACGTGTCGAGTGCTCCTTCTCTCTTTGGCTTGACAGTGTATGCTCGCTTTCTCCTTCCTCCCTACCAGGTGGATCATCTGCTGGGTCTATCAAATGCCATCATGTCGGCGTGTCGAGTGCTTGGTCCGTCTGTATCATTATATACTTGCTCTCACTCAGCCGCCCTATATCCTGCCACTGTCTCGCTCCCCTCCCTACCAGGTGGGTCAGCTGCTGGGTCTATCAGACGCCATCATGTCGGCCTGTCGAGTGCTCGGTCCTTCTGCTGCCGGCCTCCTCTCCTCCCAATTCGGCTATCACGCCCCTGTTGCTGTCAGGTACGCCCCTGTTGCTGTCAGGTACGCCCGATAGCATGCTTGTTCGCGTTGACCTAATACACCCCTGTCGCTGTCCTGAAGCCCGGTGGTGTGCCATTCTGCTTTGGAACCCGTGGATTACTTGTTCTCTCACGTTACGCATGGCAGCAGTGTTTTACATGCTGTGGACTGTCTACGTGGTTATCCTCTTTGCGGCATGGGCTTCTTTCTGCTACAAATCCCGTGTGCCTTGCTTCTGGGCCGACACAAAGGTCACCTTGAGCGAGACAACACACCAGAACCATGGCTTGTACAATGCCATGTTAGGAAGCATGTTAACATGCTTGTCGTGGCATGCTGCCATGGTACCATCGCAGGAGTTCTCTAGATGGGTGTACTTTGTGTGGACTTTAAAATCTTTGCTCCTTGCCCACCTCCATCCATGTCCCCTTCCCTCCATCTCCTCCCTGGCAGTGCCATCATTGCAGCCATTGCAGCTCTCCTTTTCCACCTGCTAGTGCTGCGCCGCCACCACCCTGCCTCTGCTGCCACGGGAATTTTGTCCAAGGGTCATTTGGCTTGATTGTTGGCGCTTGAGTGGACTCAAAAGTCTTCTCCCTGCCAGTGCCATCGTTGCTGCCATTGCAGCTCTCCTCGTCCACCTGCTAGTACTGCGCCGCCACCACCCTGCCTCTTCTAGCACGGGACTCTTGTCAAAGGGTCATTTGGCATGACTGCCTCAACCACAACCATTCCTTGGCAGCACTATCGTTGCAGCCACTGCAGCTCTCCTCTTCCACCTGCTAGTGTTGCGCCGCCACCACCCTGCCTCAGCTGCCACTGGAATCTTGTCAAAAGGGCATCTGGCATGACTGCCTCGGCCTCTCCTGGCAGCAGTACCATTGCTGCCAGTACAGCTCTCCACACCCATATGCCACATGTGTCTGCTGCCCCAGAATGTTGTCAAAATCACACTTGGCTTGATTGTCCAGGGAGTTTTTTTTGTCCAAGTCGTTTCTTTGACAACTTCATTCATCTCAGATTTCAGGTGGGCTGTTGCAACTTGCAATTCCAAACACATTTCTGACAAAAGGGAAACCAAGGATGCACTAAGATTGACATTAGCACACGGATAAACACAAATGACCCTGATCATAATGAATTGCCTCATGTGGAACAATCAGGGGTAGGAAGTCTGGCAAGTCAGCTGGTGTCCCCTGATGCCTTGCCAGCATTCCTGCCCCTGATGCTTTGACCTACCGTATTTTACCAAACCATAGCACCACCTGCCTTATGAAAATCCCTGAGCCATTCTCAATACAACTGCAGTGTTTCTCAGCTGGGGAACACCCTGCATCTGCTTGTTCACCATGGAAATGCCAAGACTCAAGGCAGTGAGGCAAGGCACGGGCTTTAAACAGCAGCGGCGGGCATCTTGGCGCCCACGAGCTGCCCGCCCCACGTCACACCTGCTGCGCTGCTGCCCGCCAGCACAGCATACCCGCTCACTGCAGGCGCCTGCTGCGCTCCCCCCTGCTGCTGCTGCCCCCCCTGCTGCTGGCCCCCCTGCTTCTGTCCGCCCTGCCTGGCAGCGCGCCCGAATGCGCGCATCAGCAGCTCCCGCCCCATGCGCCTCCCGCCCTGCCCGTTCCGCGCGCCCCCCGCGCTGCCCCCGCTAGCGCTGCCTCCGCCGGCGCTGCCTCCGCCGTTGCGCCCGCCGCCGCTGGTGGGCGGAGGCGAGGCGGTGGGGAGCACGGCGAGCAGCGCGTCGAGGGTGGCGGCGTCCGCGTTCTCGAGGAACGCGTCGAGGCGCGCCTCCGCGTGCAGCAGCCACCACCCCGCGCGCTGCTGCCAGTCCGCCGCGGCGAGCGGCAGCGCGAGCACGTCCGTCGCGGCGGCGTCGCACACGGCGCCCTTCACGATCGCCAGCGAGTCGGGCGGACTGCCCGCCGCGTCCACCAGCAGCGCCTCGACCAGCAGGTTGTAATTGCCGGTGGAGTTCTTGAAGACGGCGAGGTGGAAGCGGCCGTCAACGATCGCCTGGTCCGCGGTGCAATTGGCGAGCCGCGCGCCGATATCGGCCGTCAGATTCCCGACGGCCGTCAGGTTCAGCGGCGGACCGCGCGGTCCGCCAGGCCCGCCAGGCCCCCCGGGACCGCCGCGACCGCCGAGTCCGCCGGGACCGCCGGTTCCGCCGGAACCGGCGCCAGGGCCTCCGCGCTGACCGCCGGGAGGACCTCCGCCAGGCGGACCACGCTGCGCCAAGGCGGACGTCGACACGAGGAGGAGCACGCACGCGAGGACGAGCGCTCTGACTGCTGCCATGGCTGATATCGTGCTTACAGATTATCAAGAGATGCTTGATCTCCTGCTCCTGGATTCTAGTCGAGAAGTTTAGGAAGAAGAGGATCGAATGTGAGTTGCTGGTGTGAGTGAATGCAGGAGAGTTGCTGATCACTTTATACCCGCGTCAAAACTACTAGGAGCTTTGTTTACGAGGAAAATGGGAGACTCGAGTCAAACTGGTGGTAACCTGGGCTTCAGGTCTGGGTGTACGTCTGGTTCTGGCTCTTTGCTGGTCTTGGTGGCTTGGTGTTCGAGGTTCGGCAGTTCCCATGCCGTTTGCTGAGTTTGAGCGTACACCTCCCGCCGACAGGGAGTTGAAAATTGGCGACGAAATCCCACGCGTCAGTCAAAGCGCGGGAAAAGTAAACAGCAACGCGGAAAACTTGCCAGCACATTGGCCTCTGCAGTGTGGAGTGATGTTTTTGTGGCACAAAAATGTTCAGGTGTGCATAACGCTCGTGGAATCACTCATTTGCTGTATCTTCAACAATTCTTGAAGGGAGAGTGCATTGGTAATACATTTAAATGTTAGTGCATTCTCTCAAAATGAGTCACCTCCCCAGAACCACCTCCCTCAGTCAGCCTTGGCGCAAGCCTACCCGCCTTCCTTTTCCCTCACGCCCAAGCATCCCTCCTCCCCCATCACAAACCTCTTTCTTGGTTTCCCCGCATCCACTGCGCTTCTTCGCGCAAACTTTTCCTATTTGGAGGGATGCTGGGCAGAGAGCGGCCCTTTCCTTCCCTGCCCCTGTTATGGCCTTCCTCCCCGCTCCGCCGACATTTGGACGAGGTCGATCCCGTCCCGTTCCGCCCGAACCAAGCCGCACCAACCTCCCCATGGGTTCGTGCACAGCCTTCGTCCTTGACGGTGAGGCTGCGTTCCAACGAGGAATCGTTCGACACTCGAATGTATTCTTAGCCGATTTGTGGATGGAAGTAGCATAGTCGAGCTAGAAAAACATTAGTTCCGAAGTTGGTCACTCTATGTAACCACTCCCTGGGAGCTCGAAGCTGCTGATGATACCCCCGCTCCCCCCTCCCCCACCTCTTCCCCCCTTCCCCTTTCTCCCCAGATAACTCCCTTGAGTCCAAAAAGATCGCACACATTCTTCGCAGATCCACGACACAGCCAATAATAGAGCCGCTCGCCACGGCAATCCCAGTCTCGAATCACAAATCTCGATGTGCTGAACCGTCGGTAACCAGATCGGGGCGAGATAGGCGAGCAATTCAACAGTGAGTACACCACCCGTGATTGGAAGCAGGTAGAACAGTTGCGAAGTACTGCGCATGCATTTCGTTTTCTCCTTGTAGTGAAGTAATCTTCACCCACCTAACTAGTGCTAACAATCAAATACCTCGTTCTAGAACCAGCAGAATTCGTGTTAGGAACCAACTAGGCAAAACCATTTCACGGCAAAGTTCTCGCGTGTAGCAGCTCGAAGGCGACTTGCCAGGATAGCTCGTTCAATAGTAACCGTACTATCTTATTGCTGGCCCATATTTCGAATCTTGCTGATGTCACGTCACATACCATCGGCTGTGGTGGGGTCCTGCTAGGGCCTGTAGCGTCATCATGGCAGCTTCGACGCAGGAGACAGCACCGCATTCTAGAACGCTCGACTATGGCAGGTGAACATGGTCTTTGATGCACACCCTGTTGCTCGTATACGTCCGCACGCCATTTTTTTCGTCATCGCGATCTCCGTCATATGACCGCACGTCTCTCCGCGTGGTCACGTAGCTTCGACTCTAGTTTCATCACCTGCTGTTTGCAATCTGGTCTAGTAACGTCATTTCGAGTGTTCGCTAACGCTTCAAGGTGCAGTCTTCCCATCGCGTTTGAAAAAGTCGACGAGAACGACCCTTCCCTTCCGCGAATTCCGTCGATTGTAGGTCGAGCTCGATGATCAGGAGGAAAGCGGCGGCGAAAGGCGACCTGGCGAAGCTGATATGGTGCTTCATCGGCGTGGTGGGCACGCTCATCATCTACGGCATTGGCCAGGTGCGTCGCTGCGACACTCATGGCCTTTGCGTGCGTGTATCCAGTTTGGTGAGATGACCTAGCGAAGCTGATAGGACAGGCAATGCGACCTAGTCATTGCGTGGGCACGCACGCTCATCATCTACGGCATTGCGGGGACACTGATGGCTCTTACTTGGCTTTGAGGTGACCTGGCGAAGCCGATAAGGCAATGCGACCTAGTCACCGGCGTAGTAGGCATGCTAATCATCTACGGCGTTGGCCACGTTCGTCACTGCGACAAATAATTAACTAAGCGACCTAGCGAAGGTGACGCGGAAATGCGACCTAGGGAAGCTGATACGGCAACGTGACCCAATCATCGGCGTGGTCGGCACGCTCATCGTCCACGGCGTGTCGCATGTAAGGGCGTGCGTCGCTGCGACATTGATGGCCCTTACATGCGCGTATCGAGCTTGGTGAGGCGACTTGGGGACGCGGATGTGGGGCTTCGGCTTCGCCGTTGAGGTGAGGTGAGGGGCCCATGGCATTGGCTGGCCAGGTGCGTTGCTGTGACAAGGACCGGCCTTACATTACGTTGCGCCAAGTTCCAACTCGGAGAATCGCGCCCTTACACAAACCTCGTACAACGAGCCTTCTTGGATTAGGCTTGGTGCGTCGTCTATTCTGCATTCTGGACCACCGTTTCCAGCTCAGGGTTCCGTAGTGAGTGCTTCTCAATGCCTTCAAATGTGCCGTTTCAGTTGTGTTCCCGAGGTTGGTGTTTGAATCTGTTGTTTGCTTGCAATGCAGGAGCGGATAATGAAGTTCCCGTACGGTGACAGGGACGAGGACTCGGAGTACTTTCAGCACTCGCTCTTCATCGTGCTCTGTAACCGCCTCATGACGTGCGCTGTCGCAGTCATCGTGCACCTGGTGAGTCAGCCAGAGCCCTTTGAGCCTACTCTACTCTAGCATCTTACTCTTAGTCTTCATCGTGCTCTGCTCTGCAATCGCCTCATGACATGCGCTGTGGCAGTCATGTGCACCTGGTGAGTGCCCTTTTAGTCGACTCTACTCTACCATTCATCATTATCACATCCACTGCACAGTAACTGTACAGTACATCGTGCATACTGCACAACCCCCACATCATGTTCCACCTTTAACCCCACACCCGTTTCTCAACTCATTCATGCATGCAGGTGACAGGAGCGTCATTGGCTCTGGTGGCTCCCATCTACGCCTATGGCGCTGTGTCCCTCTCCAATGTCATTTCCTCCGGGTGCCAGTACGAGGTACGCAGCACGCTGCAATGATTGCTGTATTGGCTTTTGAGGCGCCTCAAATGGCTGGCGCTGTGTCCCTCACCAATGACATCTCCTCCGGGTGCCAATACGAGGTACGCTGCATTGGTTGCTGCTCTGCTGCACTGTGCCTGCCACAGTGTGGTCATGTTGTGCAACGTGCACGCAAGAAACGAGCCGCTCTAATTTTCCCCTTCCCCTTTGTTTGTGAATCTCCCCAACATAATGCCCCTGACTTCCCTCCCACCCAACCCCATCCCCTCCTTGCTCACTCACCCCAAACCCATCCTAACCCCACCCTATTCCTCCCAACCCCACCCTGTTCCTCCCAACCCCTCAAAAGGCCCTCAAGTACGTGAGCTTCCCTCTGCAGACCATAGCCAAGTCATCCCGCATGGTGCCCGTGCTGGTAAGCCCTGTGACCCAGCCACATGCCATGTGACCGAACCATGTCTGCAGCACCACTCCATGCCACATCACCACCCCATGCCACACTACCCCATGCCACACGATGCCATGCCACACCACCACCCCATGCCACACCACCACCACGCCATGCCACACCACCACCACTCCATGCCACACCACCACCACTCCATGCCACACCAGCGTGTACCATGCTACAACCGTGCTTGTACAACCATGCTGCTGCCTTCACAGATCTGGGGCACGCTCATATCTCGCGCAAGCAGAACAAGCCCAGGGAGTACATCATCGCCATCACCATCATCCTGAAACACTTTATCCTGTACTCTCCTGTAACGCTACAATCATACTGCTGCAACCATTCTAACTATCATGCTGCAGATCTGGGGCACGCTCATCTCGCGCAAGCAGTACAAGCCCAGAGAGTACATCATCGCCATCACCATCATCCTCGGCTCCTGCCTCTTCTTCCTCAACGTGGTGTGTCTCGTCTCCCTCCCTTTTCTCCGTCCATCTTGCTCTCTTCTCTTTCCAGGGTTTAAGGTCTAGGGTGGTCAGTCCCGTTAGCTATTGTGTTTTTGTTGTTGTTGATTTTTTTTTTTTTTTTTTTCCCAACAGTTTCTGGATCTGTGTGCGTTCATGTTGCATTTGTGTGTGTGTGTGTGTGCGCGCGCGCGCGCGTGCGTGCGTGCGTGCGTGCGTGTGTGTTTTTTCTTTTCCTTTCTTTTCTGTTTCGATTTTTTTATTTCACTTTCTTCTTTCCCCATTTTTTTTTATCCTAATCATGTAAATCATGAATAGGCATTGCTTGATCTCAGAGAGCTCACTTGTTTGGCACTCAAAAAAATGTGCATGCAACCCTCCTCAGCGTGTGACCCTGCCTTCTTCCCTTCCTCCCTCCATTTCCCTTCTCCTTTCCTCCCTTCCTCCGTCGTCCCTACACCCCGCCTACTGCATCCACCTGCTCTCCTCCCCCCCTCCACCCCCTTCTCTTTCCCCCTCCCACTCTCGTCTCCCATGCGGCGCCCTCTGCATGCTCATGGCTCGTCCCCATCCCCGGCATGTGCAATGCCCCGGGTTAAGGTGTCAAGACTGCACGCACAAGTGTCAAGAGCACGTTCTCTGGCCTCCTGCTCATGCTCGGATATCTGGGGTAAGGGTGGGTTGGTCTGGGTGTCCGCAGTGTGAGGGATATGGTAAAGCAGAGAATGTGTGGCATGCCTCTCCCTCTGCCGCTAGTACCACTGCCTCATTTTCCCCGCCTTCTCTCCCTCTGCCGTTAGTACCACTGCCTCATTTTCCCCGCCTTCTCTCCCTCTGCCGTTAGTACCACTGCCTCATTTTCCCCGCCTTCTCTCCCTCTGCCGTTAGTACCACTGCCTCATTTTCCCCGCCTTCTCTCCCTCTGCCGTTAGTACCACTGCCTCATTTTCCCCACCTTCTCTCCCTCTGCCGTTAGTACCACTGCCTCATTTTCCCCGCCTTCTCTCCCTCTGCCGTTAGTACCACTGCCTCATTTTCCCCGCCTTCTCTCCCTCTGCCGTTAGTACCACTGCCTCATTTTCCCCGCCTTCTCTCCCGCTGCCGTTAGTACCACTGCCTCATTTTCCCCGCCTTCTCTCCCTCTGCCGTTAGTACCACTGCCTCATTTTCCCCGCCTTCTCTCCCTCTGCCGTTAGTACCACTGCCTCATTTTCCCCGCCTTCTCTCCCTCTGCCGTTAGTACCACTGCCTCATTTTCCCCGCCTTCTCTCCCTCTGCCGTTAGTACCACTGCCTCATTTTCCCCGCCTTCTCTCCCTCTGCCGTTAGTACCACTGCCTCATTTTCCCCGCCTCTCCCTCTGCCGTTAGTACCACTGCCTCATTTTCCCCGCCTTCTCTCCCTCTGCCGTTAGTACCACTGCCTCATTTTCCCCGCCTTCTCTCCCTCTGCCGTTAGTACCACTGCCTCATTTTCCCCGCCTTCTCTCCCTCTGCCGTTAGTACCACTGCCTCATTTTCCCCGCCTTCTCTCCCTCTGCCGTTAGTACCACTGCCTCATTTTCCCCGCCTTCTCTCCCTCTGCCGTTAGTACCACTGCCTCATTTTCCCCGCCTTCTCTCCCTCTGCCGTTAGTACCACTGCCTCATTTTCCCCGCCTTCTCTCCCTCTGCCGTTAGTACCACTGCCTCATTTTCCCCGCCTTCTCTCCCTCTGCCGTTAGTACCACTGCCTCATTTTCCCCGCCTTCTCTCCCTCTGCCGTTAGTACCACTGCCTCATTTTCCCCGCCTTCTCTCCCTCTGCCGTTAGTACCACTGCCTCATTTTCCCCGCCTTCTCTCCCTCTGCCGTTAGTACCACTGCCTCATTTTCCCCGCCTTCTCTCCCTCTGCCGTTAGTACCACTGCCTCATTTTCCCCGCCTTCTCTCCCTCTGCCGTTAGTACCACTGCCTCATTTTCCCCGCCTTCTCTCCCTCTGCCGTTAGTACCACTGCCTCATTTTCCCCGCCTTCTCTCCCTCTGCCGTTAGTACCACTGCCTCATTTTCCCCGCCTTCTCTCCCTCTGCCGTTAGTACCACTGCCTCATTTTCCCCGCCTTCTCTCCCTCTGCCGTTAGTACCACTGCCTCATTTTCCCCGCCTTCTCTCCCTCTGCCGTTAGTACCACTGCCTCATTTTCCCCGCCTTCTCTCCCTCTGCCGTTAGTACCACTGCCTCATTTTCCCCGCCTTCTCTCCCTCTGCCGTTAGTACCACTGCCTCATTTTCCCCGCCTTCTCTCCCTCTGCCGTTAGTACCACTGCCTCATTTTCCCCGCCTTCTCTCCCTCTGCCGTTAGTACCACTGCCTCATTTTCCCCGCCTTCTCTCCCTCTGCCGTTAGTACCACTGCCTCATTTTCCCCGCCTTCTCTCCCTCTGCCGTTAGTACCACTGCCTCATTTTCCCCGCCTTCTCTCCCTCTGCCGTTAGTACCACTGCCTCATTTTCCCCGCCTTCTCTCCCTCTGCCGTTAGTACCACTGCCTCATTTTCCCCGCCTTCTCTCCCTCTGCCGTTAGTACCACTGCCTCATTTTCCCCGCCTTCTCTCCCTCTGCCGTTAGTACCACTGCCTCATTTTCCCCGCCTTCTCTCCCTCTGCCGTTAGTACCACTGCCTCATTTTCCCCGCCTTCTCTCCCTCTGCCGTTAGTACCACTGCCTCATTTTCCCCGCCTTCTCTCCCTCTGCCGTTAGTACCACTGCCTCATTTTCCCCGCCTTCTCTCCCTCTGCCGTTAGTACCACTGCCTCATTTTCCCCGCCTTCTCTCCCTCTGCCGTTAGTACCACTGCCTCATTTTCCCCGCCTTCTCTCCCTCTGCCGTTAGTACCACTGCCTCATTTTCCCCGCCTTCTCTCCCTCTGCCGTTAGTACCACTGCCTCATTTTCCCCGCCTTCTCTCCCTCTGCCGTTAGTACCACTGCCTCATTTTCCCCGCCTTCTCTCCCTCTGCCGTTAGTACCACTGCCTCATTTTCCCCGCCTTCTCTCCCTCTGCCGTTAGTACCACTGCCTCATTTTCCCCGCCTTCTCTCCCTCTGCCGTTAGTACCACTGCCTCATTTTCCCCGCCTTCTCTCCCTCTGCCGTTAGTACCACTGCCTCATTTTCCCCGCCTTCTCTCCCTCTGCCGTTAGTACCACTGCCTCATTTTCCCCGCCTTCTCTCCCTCTGCCGTTAGTACCACTGCCTCATTTTCCCCGCCTTCTCTCCCTCTGCCGTTAGTACCACTGCCTCATTTTCCCCGCCTTCTCTCCCTCTGCCGTTAGTACCACTGCCTCATTTTCCCCGCCTTCTCTCCCTCTGCCGTTAGTACCACTGCCTCATTTTCCCCGCCTTCTCTCCCTCTGCCGTTAGTACCACTGCCTCATTTTCCCCGCCTTCTCTCCCTCTGCCGTTAGTACCACTGCCTCATTTTCCCCGCCTTCTCTCCCTCTGCCGTTAGTACCACTGCCTCATTTTCCCCGCCTTCTCTCCCTCTGCCGTTAGTACCACTGCCTCATTTTCCCCGCCTTCTCTCCCGCTCTGCCGTTAGTACCACTGCCTCATTTTCCCCGCCTTCTCTCCCTCTGCCGTTAGTACCACTGCCTCATTTTCCCCGCCTTCTCTCCCTGCCGTTAGTACCACTGCCTCATTTTCCCCGCCTTCTCTCCCTCTGCCGTTAGTACCACTGCCTCATTTTCCCCGCCTTCTCTCCCTCTGCCGTTAGTACCACTGCCTCATTTTCCCCGCCTTCTCTCCCTCTGCCGTTAGTACCACTGCCTCATTTTCCCCGCCTTCTCTCCCTCTGCCGTTAGTACCACTGCCTCATTTTCCCCGCCTTCTCTCCCTCTGCCGTTAGTACCACTGCCTCATTTTCCCCGCCTTCTCTCCCTCTGCCGTTAGTACCACTGCCTCATTTTCCCCGCCTTCTCTCCCTCTGCCGTTAGTACCACTGCCTCATTTTCCCCGCCTTCTCTCCCTCTGCCGTTAGTACCACTGCCTCATTTTCCCCGCCTTCTCTCCCTCTGCCGTTAGTACCACTGCCTCATTTTCCCCGCCTTCTCTCCCTCTGCCGTTAGTACCACTGCCTCATTTTCCCCGCCTTCTCTCCCTCTGCCGTTAGTACCACTGCCTCATTTTCCCCGCCTTCTCTCCCTCTGCCGTTAGTACCACTGCCTCATTTTCCCCGCCTTCTCTCCCTCTGCCGTTAGTACCACTGCCTCATTTTCCCCGCCTTCTCTCCCTCTGCCGTTAGTACCACTGCCTCATTTTCCCCGCCTTCTCTCCCTCTGCCGTTAGTACCACTGCCTCATTTTCCCCGCCTTCTCTCCCTCTGCCGTTAGTACCACTGCCTCATTTTCCCCGCCTTCTCTCCCTCTGCCGTTAGTACCACTGCCTCATTTTCCCCGCCTTCTCTCCCTCTGCCGTTAGTACCACTGCCTCATTTTCCCCGCCTTCTCTCCCTCTGCCGTTAGTACCACTGCCTCATTTTCCCCGCCTTCTCTCCCTCTGCCGTTAGCACCACTGCCTCATTTTCCCCGCCTTCTCTCCCTCTGCCGTTAGTACCACTGCCTCATTTTCCCCGCCTTCTCTCCCTCTGCCGTTAGTACCACTGCCTCATTTTCCCCGCCTTCTCTCCCTCTGCCGTTAGCACCACTGCCTCATTTTCCCCGCCTTCTCTCCCTCTGCCGTTAGTACCACTGCCTCATTTTCCCCGCCTTCTCTCCCTCTGCCGTTAGCACCACTGCCTCATTTTCCCCGCCTTCTCTCCCTCTGCCGTTAGTACCACTGCCTCATTTTCCCCGCCTTCTCTCCCTCTGCCGTTAGTACCACTGCCTCATTTTCCCCGCCTTCTCTCCCTCTGCCGTTAGCACCACTGCCTCATTTTCCCCGCCTTCTCTCCCTCTGCCGTTAGTACCACTGCCTCATTTTCCCCGCCTTCTCTCCCTCTGCCGTTAGTACCACTGCCTCATTTTCCCCGCCTTCTCTCCCTCTGCCGTTAGTACCACTGCCTCATTTTCCCCGCCTTCTCTCCCTCTGCCGTTAGCACCACTGCCTCATTTTCCCCGCCTTCTCTCCCTCTGCCGTTAGTACCACTGCCTCATTTTCCCCGCCTTCTCTCCCTCTGCCGTTAGTACCACTGCCTCATTTTCCCCGCCTTCTCTCCCTCTGCCGTTAGTACCACTGCCTCATTTTCCCCGCCTTCTCTCCCTCTGCCGTTAGTACCACTGCCTCATTTTCCCCGCCTTCTCTCCCTCTGCCGTTAGTACCACTGCCTCATTTTCCCCGCCTTCTCTCCCTCTGCCGTTAGTACCACTGCCTCATTTTCCCCGCCTTCTCTCCCTCTGCCGTTAGTACCACTGCCTCATTTTCCCCGCCTTCTCTCCCTCTGCCGTTAGTACCACTGCCTCATTTTCCCCGCCTTCTCTCCCTCTGCCGTTAGTACCACTGCCTCATTTTCCCCGCCTTCTCTCCCTCTGCCGTTAGTACCACTGCCTCATTTTCCCCGCCTTCTCTCCCTCTGCCGTTAGTACCACTGCCTCATTTTCCCCGCCTTCTCTCCCTCTGCCGTTAGTACCACTGCCTCATTTTCCCCGCCTTCTCTCCCTCTGCCGTTAGTACCACTGCCTCATTTTCCCCGCCTTCTCTCCCTCTGCCGTTAGTACCACTGCCTCATTTTCCCCGCCTTCTCTCCCTCTGCCGTTAGTACCACTGCCTCATTTTCCCCGCCTTCTCTCCCTCTGCCGTTAGTACCACTGCCTCATTTTCCCCGCCTTCTCTCCCTCTGCCGTTAGTACCACTGCCTCATTTTCCCCGCCTTCTCTCCCTCTGCCGTTAGTACCACTGCCTCATTTTCCCCGCCTTCTCTCCCTCTGCCGTTAGTACCACTGCCTCATTTTCCCCGCCTTCTCTCCCTCTGCCGTTAGTACCACTGCCTCATTTTCCCCGCCTTCTCTCCCTCTGCCGTTAGTACCACTGCCTCATTTTCCCCGCCTTCTCTCCCTCTGCCGTTAGTACCACTGCCTCATTTTCCCCGCCTTCTCTCCCTCTGCCGTTAGTACCACTGCCTCATTTTCCCCGCCTTCTCTCCCTCTGCCGTTAGTACCACTGCCTCATTTTCCCCGCCTTCTCTCCCTCTGCCGTTAGTACCACTGCCTCATTTTCCCCGCCTTCTCTCCCTCTGCCGTTAGTACCACTGCCTCATTTTCCCCGCCTTCTCTCCCTCTGCCGTTAGTACCACTGCCTCATTTTCCCCGCCTTCTCTCCCTCTGCCGTTAGTACCACTGCCTCATTTTCCCCGCCTTCTCTCCCTCTGCCGTTAGTACCACTGCCTCATTTTCCCCGCCTTCTCTCCCTCTGCCGTTAGTACCACTGCCTCATTTTCCCCGCCTTCTCTCCCTCTGCCGTTAGCACCACTGCCTCATTTTCCCCGCCTTCTCTCCCTCTGCCGTTAGTACCACTGCCTCATTTTCCCCGCCTTCTCTCCCTCTGCCGTTAGTACCACTGCCTCATTTTCCCCGCCTTCTCTCCCTCTGCCGTTAGTACCACTGCCTCATTTTCCCCGCCTTCTCTCCCTCTGCCGTTAGTACCACTGCCTCATTTTCCCCGCCTTCTCTCCCTCTGCCGTTAGCACCACTGCCTCATTTTCCCCGCCTTCTCTCCCTCTGCCGTTAGTACCACTGCCTCATTTTCCCCGCCTTCTCTCCCTCTGCCGTTAGTACCACTGCCTCATTTTCCCCGCCTTCTCTCCCTCTGCCGTTAGTACCACTGCCTCATTTTCCCCGCCTTCTCTCCCTCTGCCGTTAGTACCACTGCCTCATTTTCCCCGCCTTCTCTCCCTCTGCCGTTAGTACCACTGCCTCATTTTCCCCGCCTTCTCTCCCTCTGCCGTTAGTACCACTGCCTCATTTTCCCCGCCTTCTCTCCCTCTGCCGTTAGTACCACTGCCTCATTTTCCCCGCCTTCTCTCCCTCTGCCGTTAGTACCACTGCCTCATTTTCCCCGCCTTCTCTCCCTCTGCCGTTAGTACCACTGCCTCATTTTCCCCGCCTTCTCTCCCTCTGCCGTTAGTACCACTGCCTCATTTTCCCCGCCTTCTCTCCCTCTGCCGTTAGTACCACTGCTTCATTTTCCCCGCCTTCTCTCCCTCTGCCGTTAGTACCACTGCCTCATTTTCCCCGCCTTCTCTCCCTCTGCCGTTAGTACCACTGCCTCATTTTCCCCGCCTTCTCTCCCTCTGCCGTTAGTACCACTGCCTCATTTTCCCCGCCTTCTCTCCCTCTGCCGTTAGTACCACTGCCTCATTTTCCCCGCCTTCTCTCCCTCTGCCGTTAGTACCACTGCCTCATTTTCCCCGCCTTCTCTCCCTCTGCCGTTAGTACCACTGCCTCATTTTCCCCGCCTTCTCTCCCTCTGCCGTTAGTACCACTGCCTCATTTTCCCCGCCTTCTCTCCCTCTGCCGTTAGTACCACTGCCTCATTTTCCCCGCCTTCTCTCCCTCTGCCGTTAGTACCACTGCCTCATTTTCCCCGCCTTCTCTCCCTCTGCCGTTAGTACCACTGCCTCATTTTCCCCGCCTTCTCTCCCGCTGCCGTTAGTACCACTGCCTCATTTTCCCCGCCTTCTCTCCCGCTGCCGTTAGTACCACTGCCTCATTTTCCCCGCCTTCTCTCCCTCTGCCGTTAGTACCACTGCCTCATTTTCCCCGCCTTCTCTCCCTCTGCCGTTAGTACCACTGCCTCATTTTCCCCGCCTTCTCTCCCTCTGCCGTTAGTACCACTGCCTCATTTTCCCCGCCTTCTCTCCCTCTGCCGTTAGTACCACTGCCTCATTTTCCCCGCCTTCTCTCCCTCTGCCGTTAGTACCACTGCCTCATTTTCCCCGCCTTCTCTCCCTCTGCCGTTAGTACCACTGCCTCATTTTCCCCGCCTTCTCTCCCTCTGCCGTTAGTACCACTGCCTCATTTTCCCCGCCTTCTCTCCCTCTGCCGTTAGTACCACTGCCTCATTTTCCCCGCCTTCTCTCCCTCTGCCGTTAGTACCACTGCCTCATTTTCCCCGCCTTCTCTCCCTCTGCCGTTAGTACCACTGCCTCATTTTCCCCGCCTTCTCTCCCTCTGCCGTTAGTACCACTGCCTCATTTTCCCCGCCTTCTCTCCCTCTGCCGTTAGTACCACTGCCTCATTTTCCCCGCCTTCTCTCCCTCTGCCGTTAGTACCACTGCCTCATTTTCCCCGCCTTCTCTCCCTCTGCCGTTAGTACCACTGCCTCATTTTCCCCGCCTTCTCTCCCTCTGCCGTTAGTACCACTGCCTCATTTTCCCCGCCTTCTCTCCCTCTGCCGTTAGTACCACTGCCTCATTTTCCCCGCCTTCTCTCCCTCTGCCGTTAGTACCACTGCCTCATTTTCCCCGCCTTCTCTCCCTCTGCCGTTAGTACCACTGCCTCATTTTCCCCGCCTTCTCTCCCTCTGCCGTTAGTACCACTGCCTCATTTTCCCCGCCTTCTCTCCCTCTGCCGTTAGTACCACTGCCTCATTTTCCCCGCCTTCTCTCCCTCTGCCGTTAGTACCACTGCCTCATTTTCCCCGCCTTCTCTCCCTCTGCCGTTAGTACCACTGCCTCATTTTCCCCGCCTTCTCTCCCTCTGCCGTTAGTACCACTGCCTCATTTTCCCCGCCTTCTCTCCCTCTGCCGTTAGTACCACTGCCTCATTTTCCCCGCCTTCTCTCCCTCTGCCGTTAGTACCACTGCCTCATTTTCCCCGCCTTCTCTCCCTCTGCCGTTAGTACCACTGCCTCATTTTCCCCGCCTTCTCTCCCTCTGCCGTTAGTACCACTGCCTCATTTTCCCCGCCTTCTCTCCCTCTGCCGTTAGTACCACTGCCTCATTTTCCCCGCCTTCTCTCCTCTGCCGTTAGTACCACTGCCTCATTTTCCCCGCCTTCTCTCCCTCTGCCGTTAGTACCACTGCCTCATTTTCCCCGCCTTCTCTCCCTCTGCCGTTAGTACCACTGCCTCATTTTCCCCGCCTTCTCTCCCTCTGCCGTTAGTACCACTGCCTCATTTTCCCCGCCTTCTCTCCCTCTGCCGTTAGTACCACTGCCTCATTTTCCCCGCCTTCTCTCCCCTCTGCCGTTAGTACCACTGCCTCATTTTCCCCGCCTTCTCTCCCTCTGCCGTTAGTACCACTGCCTCATTTTCCCCGCCTTCTCTCCCTCTGCCGTTAGTACCACTGCCTCATTTTCCCCGCCTTCTCTCCCTCTGCCGTTAGTACCACTGCCTCATTTTCCCCGCCTTCTCTCCCTCTGCCGTTAGTACCACTGCCTCATTTTCCCCGACTTCTCTCTCTGCCGTTAGTACCACTGCCTCATTTTCCCCGCCTTCTCTCCCTCTGCCGTTAGTACCACTGCCTCATTTTCCCCCCTTCTCTCCCTCTGCCTTAGTACCACTGCCTCATTTTCCCCGCCTTCTCTCCCTCTGCCCCACTGCCTCATTTTCCCCGCCTTCTCTCCCTCTGCCGTTAGTACCACTGCCTCATTTTCCCCGAAGTCGCATGCCTTGCTGTTTCAAGACAAGCTGTGTCAGGGCTATGACATTCCACCCCCTCTCCCTCCCTTTTGAGTCGACTCAAAAGTCAACTTGCTGTTTCAGGGCTATGACATGCCCCCCCTCTCCATCCCTCCTTGTCCCTCTCCGCCTGTCCACTCATCCTCATCCCTCCCCTCCACCCTCTCAGCTTTGACGGCTTCACCAACGCGTTTCAGAACAAGCTGTTTGAGGGCTATGACATGCCCCCCACTCTCCCTATCTTCTTGTCCCTCTCATCGTTCCCCTTCCATCTGTCCACCCGTCGTCACCTTATGCTCATGCCTTCCTCGCAGCTTTGACGGCTTCACCAACGCGTTTCAGAACAAGCTCTTTGAGGGCTATGACATGCCACCCTCTCCCTCTCTTCCTGTCCCTCTCCTCATGCCTCTGCGCTTGTTCGTCCATCATCATGCTCATACCACCCTCTCAGCTTTGACGGCTTCACCAACACGTTTCAGGACAAGCTGTTTGAGGGCTACGACATGCCACGACCTCTCCCTCTCCCTGTGTCCCTCTCCTCGTCCCTCTCCGCCTGTCCTCCCCAAAATCACCTCATGCTCATCCCATCCCTCTCAGCTTTGACGGGTTCACCAACACGTTTCAGGACAAGCTGTTTGAGGGCTATGACATGCCGGCAGCCAACCAGGTGCTCTACATCACGCTCTGCTCATCTGTCATCAGCCTGCTCGGTGAGTGCGTGGCATAACCACACAGGGGGTAAGGCACTGTGACTGCAGCAAGCAATCTATGTGCTATCGGATCAACCAGCCAACCAGGTGCTCTACATCACGCTCTGCTCGTCTGTCGTCAGCCTGCTTGGTAAGACGCTGCTGCTGCACCAAATGCATTGGGTAAGGCTCCACATGTCTTTGGATAAGTCGCTGTGTGGTAAAACGCTGTGCAGTACCCCTGTGGTTCCAGCCAACCAGGTGCTCTACATCACGCTCTGCTCCTCTTTCATCAGCCTGCTGGGTAAGTCGCTGCTCTGCTGTCGCCCTTTGCAGTCAACCAGGTGCTTCACTGCATTCACTCTACATCACGCTCTGCTCCTCTGTCATCAGCCTGCTGGGTGAGTGGCAGAGATAGCCTCAGGGTAGGTAATAGACTGTGAGTGCAGCAACCCATGTGCTATCAATCGGTCAACCAAACCAGGTGCTATACATCACACTCTGCTCCTCCGTCATCAGCCTGCTGGGTAAGTTACAATGCCTAACCAGACGCCCATGTGTGACAGTGCCCACCCAGGTGCTCTACAGTGGCCTTCGCATTCATCATTCGTTCATGTGTCACCACATTCTGCTGTTCGGCCTTCATGTTGTATCATCATATGCCTCTCACCGCTCTGCCTCTCTTTCCCCCACCAGGCCTGCACCAGGACCTAGCAGCGGCCATTGCATTCATCGTGCTGTGGCATCCTGTTGTGCTGCTCTATCACCATGTTGCCTTGCCTTACATTATGTGTCCCCCTCCCCTCCCGTCCCCTTCCCTCCCCTCCCCTCCCCTCCCCTCCCCTCCCCTCCCCTCCCCTCCCCTCCCCTCCCCTCCCGCCCACCACCAGGCCTGCGCCAGGATCTATCAGCAGCCATTGCATTCATCATGCGCCATCCCGACTGTGCGCTCCACATCGCGATGCTTTCTGTGGCCATGCGTCTCACCCTCCATGCTCACCATTCTCTCTGCTTCTCTCACCCCCACCAGGTCTGCGCCAGGACCTATCAGCGGCCATCGCATTCATCATGCGCCATCCCGACTGTGCGCTCCACATCGCCTTCATGCTGTATCATCATATGCCTCACCCTCACCACCGCTCTCTCTCTCTCACCCATCACCAGGCCTGCGCCAGGACCTGTCAGCAGCCATCGCATTCATCATGCGCCATCCCGACTGTGCGCTCCACATCGCAGTGCTCTCTGTGGTATGCATTTCGTTGGTTCTCTAGTACCATTGAGTCTGACATATTCCTTGCATACAATCAGTAATACACTTCTATTCATTTATCCAGGATCGGTCTTATGTCTCAATCCGGTCCTATATAAACACTATTAACGCACCAGCCTTCACTAAACTTCTCTTCCTCTCTTATCTCCACTCCACTCGCCTCCCCCACATTCCTCCACTAAACCTCTCCCCCTTAACCCCACCAGGCGGCCACCATAAGCCAGTTCTTCATCTCCTACACCATCAAGACGTTCGGTGCTCTCACCTTTGCCACCATCATGACCACGCGCCAGGTGTGCGCTCTCTGCATGCACGTTATGCGTGTGCTTTGTGTGTGTGCTTTGTGTGTGTGTTGTGTGCGTGTTGTGTATGTGTGCGTGCTTCATCTCCTACACCATCAAGACGTTTGGTGCTCTCACCTTTGCCACCATCATGACCACGCGTCAGGTGTGCGCTCTCTGCATGCACGTTGTGTGTGTGCTTTGTGTGTGTGTTGTGTGCGTGTTGTGTATGTGTGCGTGCTCTTATCTCCTACACCATCAAGACGTTTGGTGCTCTCACCTTTGCCACCATCATGACCACGCGTCAGGTGTGCGCTCTCTGCATGCACGTTGTGTGTGTGCTTTGTGTGTGTGCTTTGTGTGTGTGTTGTGTGCGTGTTGTGTATGTCTGCGTGCTTTATCTCCTACACCATCAAGACGTTTGGTGCTCTCACCTTTGCCACCATCATGACCACGCGCCAGGTGTGCGCTCTCTGCATGCACGTTGTGTGTGTGCTTTGTGTGTGTGTTGTGTGCGTGTTGTGTATGTGTGCGTGCTTTATCTCCTACACCATCAAGACGTTTGGTGCTCTCACCTTTGCCACCATCATGACCACGCGTCAGGTGTGCGCTCTCTGCATGCACGTTGTGTGTGTGCTTTGTGTGTGTGTTGTGTGCGTGTTGTGTATGTCTGCGTGCTTTATCTCCTACACCATCAAGACGTTTGGTGCTCTCACCTTTGCCACCATCATGACCACGCGTCAGGTGTGCGCTCTCTGCATGCACGTTGTGTGTGTGCTTTGTGTGTGTGCTTTGTGTGTGTGTTGTGTGCGTGTTGTTTATGTCTGCGTGCTTTATCTCCTACACCATCAAGACGTTTGGTGCTCTCACCTTTGCCACCATCATGACCACGCGCCAGGTGAGCGCTCTCTGCATGCGTGCTGTGTGCTGCTTGTGCGTGTGTAGTGTGTGCGTGTGTTGTGTGTGCGCATGTTGGGTGCTTGCAGTCTGCATGTTGTGTGTGTGCGTGTGCACCTGTGCACATGTGCACATGTGCTTGCCCCGTGTTCCATTGCCCTTCTGTTTTCGTCGTCTCAACTACACCCAAGTTGACCATTCCGTGCCACCCCATCGATCAGCATGTTTTCCTCTGTGCAAGTCTTGACATGTGGAAAATGGGATAACTCTATCATATCCTTCTGTGCGTCTGGAGCCTTATACTCCTTACCTAATTATTCCACGTCCCTGATTTTCTGTCCGTCCATCCCTTGTTACCAGCTGCTCAGTATCGTATTATCATCAACCGTGTATGGACCGCCTCTCTCCTCCACACAACAAGTCGGCACGGTAAGTGCCCACCCCTCAACCCAAGACTTGCTCTGTCACCGCCATCTCTCATCAGTTACACATTCGTCTCACCCACCCGCATGAAGATTAGTTTGTCTCAAAACTAAGTACCCACTCCTCAACCCAAGACTTGCTCTGTCACCGCCATCTCTCATCAGTTACACATTCGTCTCACCCACCTGCTTGCCTACCTGCTTGCCCCTTGCTGAGAGAGAAACAATGGCGCTGAATTCTCATCCTTGCAACCTCCACAGTTTCACCGCTGTCCCCTCCACCGGCTTCTCAATCTTCCTCTCTCTTCCCTCTGCCCTCAGCCACTGCTCCATGTTCTCCCACCACTGCACTGCACTCCCCACTGCACTCCCCACTGCACTCTCCACTGCACTCTCCACTGCACTCTCCACTGCACTCCCCACTGCACTCTCCACTGCACTCTCCACTGCACTCCCCACTGCACTCTCCACTGCACTCTCCACTGCACTCCCCACTGCACTCCCCACTGCACCACCTTTCATCACAAGGCGGTTGTCAGTGCACTCTGCTACAAGCATGTGAATCAAAATTCTCAGCTACACCCCCCATCTGCCAAGCACTCACTCTCCCTCCCCACCACCCTTCGTCAGGTCTTGGTGTTCGGAGCTCTCTACTACAAAAATGTCTTGTATTTTTCTCTTCATGTGCACTTTGCATTGGCCATGCGCTCTTACACACATGTGCTCTGTCTGTACCACAAACGAGTTTGTGAGAATCCTCAGTAGTGCCTGTATCTATCCACTCCACTCCCTTCCCCTCAACCCCTTTCACCATGTGGTGGTATTTGGTGCTCTCTAAGACAAATGAGATTGTGAGAATCCTCAGCCCTTCATCTGCTTATTCTGCTGCCCCCTTCTCCACCCCCCCACCCCTCCACCAGGTGATGGTGTTTGGTGCTCTCTACTACAAGAATGTATTTATCATTATGCAACTACACCCTACATCTGCGCACTCCCCCCTTTCACCACCCCTCCACCAGGTGGTGGTGTTTGGTGCTCTCTACTACAAGAGCTGGTATGCGGTAACCAGAGCAGCAGCAGTTTTGAGACGTCTCAAATCTGCCCATATCCCCCCTTTCCCCCACCACCCTCCACCAGGTGGTGGTGTTTGGTGCTCTCTACTACAAGAGTTGGTATGCAGTAACCAGAGCAGCAGCAGCCAGCCAATCAGCTTCCTCCACCAGCAGTAGCACCATAGGAGCCAGCTGCAACAGCAACAGCAGCAGCAGTAATCTTTTGGCCACAGCAAACCCTAGCAGCAACACCACCCCCACCTCAGCCTCGACCCACTCCCATTCGTCCAATGCGGGTATAGAAATGGGGGGCAGTGCGAGTGGGGGCAAGGATCAGGAGAAACTGGGAGTTGCAATTACCCCGCCCTCGAGGGATCTGATTAGCCCTTCCTCTGGGTCCTTGTTCAGAGTGCTAAAGAACAGGCTGTCCGGGGAGGTGGTAGTGGGATAAGGGAAGAGGAATCGCCACTCATGGGGGGAAGAGATGGGGAGGGTGGAAGTGGAGTAGGCACATCTGACAAGCTATGACGGGCTATTGAGATGCGAACAGTTTTCAGATTGCAATTTTGCATTCCCTACAGAATTTTGGTGTAAGGAATGAATGTAACCGTTCAATGAGAAACCGCTGAAAATCTGCTGCCTGAGTGAGTGATGGCATCACAGCTGCCACTGCAGCATTAGCTGTGCAACGAGACCTTTTTCAGTGCCCTACTGTGCCCTAGACATTTTACATTGCCTTCGCAACTACCGCACAGCACATGCTGTAGCAAGCAAGCTGCGAACTGCACGGTTTAAAAAATTCCCACTTCATTCCAGGCGCCTCAAGTATCCTCACTTCCGTTCCATTCCGTCACTGCTGCTTCTGCTGCATGTAGTCGCAGGGAGTGGCCTCCCAGATGATGGTGCCATCACAGGAGGACATTGACTTGTAGTTCTGCCCCACACCTGCTATCACCCTGCCCCCGTATGACCCGGTCAGGTCAGGTCAGGCCCCTCACACCCGGCCTGCCCCCTCTCACTAGCACCAACCCTACTTCTGCTGCACATAATCACTCGGAGTGGCCTCCAAAATGATGGTGCCATCACAGGAGCACAGCGACTTGTGATTCTGCCCCACACCTGCACTGCGCGCGGTCACTGCTGCCCCGGCCCTTCTCTAACCCCTCCACCCACACCACACCCACACCTATTCCTACTTCTGCTGCACGTAATCACTAGGTGTTGCCTCCCAGATGATGGTGCCATCGCAGGAGCACAGCGACTTGTAGTTCTGCCCCACACCTGCACTGCGCGCAATCACCGCTGCTGCCAGCCCCTTGCTGCTGCTCCTGTCAGCCCCTTCATACACCGCCACGGCCCGCCCTATGAGGTCCCACACCCTGAGGCGCGTGCTGGGGGCTGCATAGGACGCATGGCCCTTGTCGTCTGCCTGCAGCACGCCCAGATCGCCAACCGGCTGGAAAGGGAGGGAGGGATGGGAAAGGGAGGAGAGGGATGGGAACACGGGGGTGTGAGCCACAACCCGCCCCATGAGGTCCCACACCTTGAGGCGCGTGCTGGGTGCTGCAAACGAGGCATGGCCCTTGTCGTCCGCTTGCAGGACACCCGAGTCACCTGTGGGCTGTGAAGAGGAGAGGGAAGAACGGAGGAGTGAGAAGAAAGGAGAAAAAGGAGAGGATATGGGCAGGACCCACAACAACTGGGCTACACTCAGAAAGTACCCCTCCATTCATCAGCAGCAATGGCAGTTGACGCCTTCCCCAAGAAGCACCCAACAACTAGCTGAACTATTGTTCCCGCTGCAATGTACGTACCCCATCAGCAGCAGCAGCAGCAGATGGCGCCTCCCCCGGGTAGCACCTGCCGGTGCTGTCAGCGCCGCGGGTGAGGTCCCCATACTCGTTGACGGCCCATGCATGGGCGGTGGAGGGGGAGAAACCGTCAAACTGCGCCTCCACCCGCACCTCCTCCATGCTCACCTGGAATGGGGAGAGGGGGTAGAGGAGGGGGGGGTAAATGGGGAAGGGGAAGTGTGGCGGTGAGGTCCCCATACTCGTTGACGGCCCATGCATGGGCGGTGGAGGGGGAGAGACCGTCGAATTGAGCTTCCACCCGCACCTCCTCCATGCTCACCTGGGGGGGAGTGGGGTGGGGGGGGGGAGATTGCAGAAAAAGGGGAGGGCAGTGTTATACACACATCTTCTGTGCACTTGTCGCCTCCACCCGCACCTGCATAGGGGAGAGGGAGAGTGGCAGTGTAACATGTGCGAGACAGCAATTCGGCATGCTCATTTGGTGATAGGAGTGGGGTGAGGTGGAGTGGGTCTGGGCTTCTGAGGAGAAACAAGTATACGTGGGCCTGGCGTTGAAGCACTTTTATGCTTTCAATGACTGAACAAGAAATACAAGTCACCTAGCCTAGTGGTGTCAAGTCAAGTCAGCCTGGCCAGCAGGTTTGGAAAACGGAAACCGTCTTACCTGGGCGAACCGCACTACACCGTGAATCACCGGCCCCTTAAACTCTGCCACCGCTGCTGTGAGGGCCAGCTCTGGATAGGAAATAAGAAGAAAAGCGAAGAAGGGAAGAAAGGGAGATAGTAAGGGAGGAAGAGAGGAAGGAAGAGATGGTGTGAGGGGAGACCTCGATAAGGGAGCGGGAGGTGGTACATACATGGTGGTCGCACAGCAGAGAGAGGTTCCAAGATGAAACGGGAGCAGGTACGGCGAACGAGGAGAAACAGAACGAGTGTCACAGCTGAACCCCAATCAGCCGGGCCTTGCAGTGCGCTCTTCAGCACCTTCTCCAGCTGCGCCAGCCAGTGTGTCTTTGACTCGACAGGACTCGCTTTTTAGTATGCTCAAAAGTGACTCCAATATAACCTGCTTCACTCACGAGAAGGGTCGCCCAGCCCAGCCCGATGAGCCGGGCCTTGCGGCCGCTCCCCTCCACCCTGATCGGGGGGCCCGCCTTGCAGCCGGCCGCTCCTCTTCAGTTCCTCCTCCAGCTGGACCAACGTGGCACTCCCCAACGACATACCCCCGTCCCTCACACGTATGTCTTTATGCCTCCACAATCACTCACGAGAGGGGTCGCCCTGGCCAATCAGCCGCGCCTTGCCGCTCTTCTTCAACGCCTCTTCCAACTGGGCCAGCCAGCGTGGGGCATTCCCCAACGACATGCCCCCCGTCCGTCACTCACACCTGTGTCTTTATGCCTGAACATTGTACAATCACTCACGGGACGGGTCTCCCTGCCCGATGAGCCGCGCCTTCCTGCCGCTCCTCTTCAGCGCCTCCTCCAGCTGGGCCAGCGTAGCACCCCCCAACCCAACAGCATGGCCCGGTAAAAAAACACTCGCGCACTGGGTTCTCCACACCTTCACCAACCCTTAGAAATCACTCACGGAACGGGTCTCCCTGCCCGATCAGCACTCCCCAACACGCGCATTCACGTAATTGATCAGCTCCATTTTGCAGGCTACGCCTCTATATTCACTCACGGGACGGGTCGGCCTGCCCGATGAGACGCGCCTTCCTGCCGCTCTTCTTCAGCGCCTCCTCCAGCTGGGCCAGCGTAGCACTGCCCAACAGCATGGCCCGGTACTGGGCACTGGGTACTGGGTACTGGGCCCAACAGCATGGCCCGGAGAGAAATCACTAACATCGCAGAACAGCTCTCCACCACACCTCCATACGGCCTCTCTACTATCATCACTCACGAGAAGGGTCTCCCTGGCCAATGAGCCGCGCCTTGCGGCCGCTCTTCTTCAACGCCTCTTCCAGCTGGGCTAGCGTGGCGCTCCCCAACACGCGCACCACCTGCGACTCGAGACTGATGTCCACCAACTTCACGCCTGGTGGGAGATGGAGAGTGGGTGAGGAGATGGAGAGGGGGTGAGGGGATGGAGAGGGGGTGAGGAGATGGAGAGGGGGGTGAGGAGATGGAGAGCGGGTGAGGGGATGGAGAGGGGGTGAGGAGATGGAGAGTGGGTGAGGAGATGGAGAGGGGGTGAGGAGATGGAGAGGGGGTGAGGAGATGGAGAGTGGGTGAGGAGATGGAGAGGGGGGGTGAGGGGATGGAGAGGGGGTGAGGAGATGGAGAGGGGGTGAGGGGATGGAGAGGGGGTGAGGAGATGGAGAGGGGGTGAGGAGATGGAGAGTGGGTGAGGAGATGGAGTGGGTGAGGGGATGGAGAGGGGGTGAGGGGATGGAGAGGGGGGTGAGGAGATGGAGAGTGGGTGAGGAGATGGAGAGTGGGTGAGGAGATGGAGAGGGGGTGAGGGGATGGAGAGGGGGTGAGGAGATGGAGAGGGGGTGAGGAGATGGAGAGGGGTGAGGAGATGGAGAGTGGGTGAGAGTGGGTGAGGGATGGAGAGGGGGTGAGGGGATGGAGAGGGGGTGAGGAGAGGAGGGGGGTGAGGAGATGGAGAGGGGGTGAGGAGATGGAGAGTGGGTGAGGAGATGGAGAGGGGGTGAGGGGATGGAGGGGGGTGGAGAAGGGGTGAGGGGATGGAGAGGGGGTGAGGAGATGGAGAGGGGGTGAGGAGATGGAGAGTGGGTGAGTGGGTGAGGAGATGGAGTGGGTGAGGGGATGGAGAGGGGGTGAGGGGATGGAGAGGGGGTGAGGAGATGGAGTGGGTGAGGAGATGGAGTGGGTGAGGGGATGGAGAGGGGGTGAGGGGATGGAGAGGGGGTGAGGAGATGGAGAGTGGGTGAGGAGATGGAGTGGGTGAGGGGATGGAGAGGGGGTGAGGGGATGGAGAGGGGGGTGAGGGGATGGAGAGGGGGTGAGGGAACAAGGGGGACGAAAGGACGAGGGAAGTGAGGGGCGGGACGGGCCGGCGAGGGACTGCCCAACACGACACAAGCACCACCTGAGACTCGAGACTGATGCCCACCAACTTGACGCCTGGTGGACGGGGATTCAAATATATGGCAGAGAGGGAAGCGAGGTGAGTGAGGGGAGCGAGTGAGGGGAGCGAGGGGGGTGAGACGGGAGGACGGACCAGCGTGGCACTCCCCAGCACGACACGCGCACCACCTGCGACTCGAGACTGATGTCCACCAACTTCACGCCTGGTGATGTCGGGGAGAAGCGGGTGAGAGAGAGAGGGAGCAAAGGAGAATTAGGGTGGGGAAAATGGGGGAAGTGGGGGAACTGAGGGGTGAGGATGAGCTAGCTAGCGTGGAGTGGCACTCCCCAACACATGCACCACCTGCGACTCCAAACTGATGTCCACCATGTTGACGCCTGGTGGGAGATGGGGTGGGGGCTGTCAAGGATGAACAGGTGGGCTGCGGAGGTCTTATGTCCATCAACTTAAACTGTTTCTTAGGACGACGAAGCAAACTCCATGAAAATGAAAAAATTAGAGCCTGGAAAGCTTGAGAGCTAGAACGTGGAGTGGCACTCCCAAGGATCAAAATTACGGTTATCGTATTATACGGTCCGTATAATACGGTCGTTTTTTACGGCCAAAAATCCAAAAATACGCCGTATTTTTGATAGACTTTTAAAAAACGTAGTTTTTCTCCTAGCAATCACTGATTTTTTTAAAACCGTATTTTACGGCCGTTTTATACGATTCCGTATTATACGGTAGAATTTCAATAATTCGGTCGTAATTTTGAACCTTGGGCACTCCCCAACACATGGAGTGGAGTGTCCACCATGTTGACGCCTGGTGGGAGATGGGGTGGGGGGGGGAGCGAGAGGGGGGAGGGAGCGAGCGAGAAAGACGAGGGGGGAAGTGAGGGGGAGGGGGGAGGGGGGGGGGGGGGAGGGAGGATGAATGAACCAGTGCAGCACTCTGCAACAGTCGCTCTAACTGCGATGCGATTCCATCCAACCCATGATTCAGCTCAACCCCTCCGTCTCACCTTCCAGAGGCTCCAGCTTCCCCCGCACGTTCTTGACGCAGCGCTGACACGACATATCCACCATGAACTCCGTCTGATGCGGAGAGACGGTTGTGAGGAGAGAGAGGGGGGGGGGAAGGGAGGAGGGGAGGTAGGGAGGGGAGGTATGAGGAGCACATTGTTCTTGACGCAGCTCTGACACGACATGCCCTTCATGAACTCCGTCTGGGAAAGACGATGGGATGGGGGGAAGAGAGAAAAGTGGGAGAGGAAGGAAGGAGGGGCATGGGGAGAACAACGTTCTTGACACAGCTCATGTCATGTCATGTCCACCATGAACTTGGTCTGCACGAGACGACGAAGGGGGACCGGGAAACGGAGGAGGGTTAGAGAAGAAGGCTAGAAAGTTGGAGACACATAACGTTCTTGACGCAACTCATGTCATGTCCACCATGCACTAGGTCTGAGAGGAGAGACGAGGGTGAGGAGAGGCAGAGGGGGAAGGAAGGGAGGAGGGGAGGTAGGGAGGGGAGGTGTGGGGAGCACACTGTTCTTGACGCAGCTCTGAGTCTCTGACAGGACATGTCCACCATGCACCGCGTCAACAAACGCGTCACCAGAGTTCATGGTTATGGAAAATCGTTACTTTGAGGCACCTAGAAAATTGCTTCACGTTGGTTGGGACAGCAGCTACTAACGCGTCTCGCAGGCTTCTTGAGGATTCACGAAAATAGCTCGCAGAGAAACGATTTGACGCGAATTGCTTGTAAGGACCGTTCGAGGTAGTAAATGCGCGTTTACTGATCGACACGCCATCACAATGCCACGTCGAACCCACCACGCCACGTCATGCATGCCACGTCATACCATGAGGTCGGGAAGCTGAGTGGCTGCGGATGGCGCCGAAACAGCTGTAGCGGAACCACCCTGGAGGAGATGAAAGGCGCAGAGGAGAGCGGAGCGCAAGAAGAACGCGGGGAGTGCGAAAGCGAGGGGAGCGCGGAGAACGCGAAGAATGCGGGGAGCGGGCGCGCAGGAAGAGCGAGCATAGCGGGGAGCAGGGAAATCACGAGGCACACGAGCGTGAGACACGCATGGCGAGGATACTCGATACGAAATTCACATAATAGGTACGTCAACAACTTAGTAGGAGTTGTGTAGGAGGATCGTCGCAAGCGCATCATGGGGCGCCGAACAGCCATCGTCGCCAGCCGTCGCTCACCTCGCTCGCCATCGCACGGCACCCCAGTCGCGCGCTCCTTCCCGCTGCTGCTGCCTTCCGCCAATCGCTCCCGCGCGCACTCGCCTTCAACCCCTTTCCGCGCACAGGCGCAGCTCTAAGCTCGCGCACGCTAGTACCGCGGGCTACCGCAGCCGGAGTAGCGACGTTCAGGCGGCAAAGATGCTGCGATGCGCTGAGAGAGGCGGCAGGAGCAGCCATAACTAGCTCACTATTGACGGCGATTCGCGTTGTGAACCCGACGGAAATGAAAGAAATTACAGGCAGGTGAGGTATGGTAGAATCTAGAAGGTTGGCAAAAGCTAGGAAGTTGGGGGATGGGTTGCTGGGGGGGGGGGGAGCGGAAGGAGGAGCGCGCAGACCAGGAAAACTCGCGCGCGGATACAGCGCTGGCGCGAGACGTCTCTGCAAATCCCCCAACAGCTCACGGCAGGTGCAATGCACGCGAAAACGGGGGCGCGCGCGAGCGGGCAGGAGGCGCGCATGACTTGGTGCGGTGTATATATCACCAAGTGTAGACATCGAGAAACATGTGTTTAAAACCATATGGAAAACAGAAACAATGCAGTTGCCTTATAATTGTTATTTGACAAATATTATCAAACAATAATGGCATGGCATCATGCCATCCAAGGCAAACCCGTGCAACGGGCCACTAGTTATGCCTGCCTGCCTGTGCCTCCTGTTGCCGCACAGGGTAGAAATACGGATGCGCCTGCGCAGGGACACCAAAGACAAAGGAAGAGGGAATGGAAATGAGGCAACACAAAAAGTTTAGGTGCTTCTAAAGTTTAGGCATGGCCACCCAAACCCTTCTGCAAACACCACCATGACCCCCCCCCCCGTGAGCACCACTCACCATGGCCTCCCTCGCTGTGAGCCGGTCCTGGTGGTCGTACCGCAGAAGCTTGTCCAGAAAGTCCACCGCCTGCCCACCAGGTGTTGCAGGGAATGGACGGCAATGGACAGGAATGGGCGGCAACGGGCAGGAATGGACGGCAATGAGAAACATTGGGTGGCAATGGGCATAAATGGAACACAGAGATAGGAGATAAGAGAGAAGGCAAGGGCGGACATGCAGAAAGCAGGGCCACATGCCCCGATCACTGCGTAGAGGCATGGCACGGCGAGCCTATCTTCAAGACGTTAAATATCGCTTGCCTCAGGGGAAACAAGGTGCTGGTTGTTACCTTGAGACTACCTCATGCGTTAAATATCGCTTACCTCATGCGTTACCTCATCCTATCTTCAAGACGTTGAATATCGCTTACCTCAGGGGAAACAAGGTGCTGGTTGTCGCTGTTGACAAACTTGGACCACGGCTTGCGGCTGTGCCCGCCCCACCACCAGCTTTGAGCAGTTTATAACGCATTCCAAACATCCGAAACACCCCAAACAGCATACCTCAGGCGAGACGAGGTGCTGGTTGTCGCTGTTAACGAACTTGGACCACGGCTTGCGGCTGTGCCGCCCCACCAGAGCCTCCAGATGCGGGTCCAACATGATGCTGTACTTGCCCAGGTAGCTGTTCAACTCATCGGTTCCCAGCACCTGAGAGAATAGGGGCAGAGGACAGTGTGATAGGAGTGAGGGGTAGGTAGGAGTAAAGGTGTGGGTCCAGCATGATTCTGTACTTGCCCAGGTAGCAGTTCAGCTCATCCGTTCCCGGCACCTGAGAGTTGGGTGATGGGAAGGAGGTGGGGCAGGGAGTAAAGAGTTGAGAAAGGGGTTTGTAAAGGTGTGGGTCCAGCGGGATGCTGTACTTGCCCAGAAAGCTCATCAGCGCTCAGGACCTGCAGAGTGAGTGCTATGATGGGAAGCGGTGCAGTGGAACGATTGAGATTAAGAAAGCGGCAGTGAGACGAGAAGAATACGGAATGTGCGGGGCACCAGTTTCCTGCCAAGCCTAGCACGTCGCTGAGACTCTGGAAGAAAGAGCTTATTTTTTAGGCGCCTCAAAAGCAGACACCGATTTCCTGCCAGCCTAGCACGTCGCTGAGACGAGACTCTGGAAAAAAACAGCTTCCCCACAGGCAGCATTGATGCATACAGCTCACAGTTTTGACGGTGGCAATCTGAATAGACACGAGAGATCATCCAGGTGATATGATCAAGGGTGACTCAGCCAGGCCAGAAAGGAGCAGGTCGGTGAGTCAACTGACAGCCAGCCGTGCCCCACTGTGCATGCAACGTGATCCGCATACAAAGTGCCTTGGCTGGCCTCTCCTACCGTTGCAGACCAGTCACAGCCACAGTCACAGTCGCAGTCAGTCAGTTGGTCACAACCACGGTCACAGTCAGTGAGTCAGCCAGTCGGTCAGTCGGTCAGTTTCAGTCAGTCAGTCCGTCAGCCTCAGTCAGGCAGTCACACTCAGACAGCTAGCACAAAGTCGTCCCTGCTCTCTGAACGCCAAAAAATCCGACCTGGAGATGCAAGCCCATAGCCAGCCCATAGGTACCCCGGGACTGGTCTGCTCTGCTCTGTATGCACCGAGGCAATTTTGACAAGCTGGACTGTTGGGGCGCGTTGAAAGGGGAGTGGAGTGGACGCACCTTGGCAATCTTTACAAGCTGGTCATAGTTGTCATGGCCGTAGAAAAATGGCTCCTTGCGGAATATCTGATGCGAGGGCACAGGGGAGCAAAGGGAGTGGGGGAAAGGGAGGGTGAGACGAGCTGATCGTAGTTGTCATGGCCGTAGAAGAAAGGCTCCTTGCGGAATATCTGCAGGCACGGACGCACAGGGCATGGGGCATGGGGCACGGGGAGAGAAGGAACGGGCAGGAGGAGCAGCGGGAACAGGGAGAAGGGGGTTGGGATGGGGTGGGGTGGGATGGGGGAGATGATGATGATGGTGAACAATGGGAGTCGAGTCGAGAGGAGCTCGTTGCAGAGCATGAGAGCAGCAGCACATGGATGCATTGTTCAAAGATGTTTTAGGCGCCTCAAAAGTGATAATGGTCAACAGAGGGCATCAACAATAGGGGCTCGTTGTAGACTATGTGAGCAGCACATGCATGGTTCAAGAGACGGGACAGGACGGCCATCGTTGGGCGGTGGGAAATGAGAGGGGAGGGGAAAAGGGAATGGGAGAGGGGGGAAAGGGGTAATAATGGCAAACACAGGCTGTAAAAGACGGGCTCTTTGCAGAATACCAAAGAGCAACTGCATACGACTTTTGAGGCGCCTCAAAAGCCGGGATCTCTGGAGAATACCAAAGAAATGCAGAAGAAGAACGAGTTTTGGGATAAAAAGAGTTGGTGACAGCCGTGGGACAGCAGGAGGGGTGGATGGAAGAAAGAAAGGTCTCTCACAACGAGAAATGCATGCACGCGGAATTCCGAGCAACGAGTCAAGCACCCGCCCACACGCACCATCTTCCTCACACACACCATGTTCCCCGCCCCACACCACACCCACCCACCATGCCAGCGACCACACCCACCCAGCACACACCCCAACCCAGCGGCTCACCATGCCAGCAAACATGCATCCAACGCTCCACATGTCAAGAGAGTAGTCATCATAATCCTGTAGGTCCACTGCTTGCATGCATGCAACCCATGCTCACTGCTCTTACCATGCCCCGACAGACACAAGGCTCACCATGCCAGCGAACATGCACCCGAGGCTCCACATATCAAGAGAGTAGTCATAGTCCTGTAGGTCCACTAACAGTTCGGGGCCCTTGAAGTACCTGCAGAGACGCCGAGAGCACAAGAGCGGTGCAGAAAGGCATGGGAGGAAAGGATGGGGTTTGCTTAAGAGCGATACATGTCGAGCGAGTAGTCATAGTCCTGTAGGTCCACTAGCAGCTCGGGGCCCTTGAAGTACCTGCAGTCTGAAGAGGCAGGGGAGGAGCACCAAGACACGCAATGCAAGAGGGTGGTGTGGATAAAGGGTGCACGCCGTCAAGTGCCCTGAGATCCTGCCAGTCCATGAGCCGCCTGCCAACGCGCTTCCGTGCGAGCAGCGCAGCAGCACTGCTCGTGGCGTTTTGAAGGATACTCACCAATCCTGCAGAGTGCAGCGTACCTGGACGCCACGCGCAAGTTGTTGTACTCCTTATTGAGGCGGTACAACTTACCAAGGTGCGTGCATCACATGCCTGCACGGCACGCGGTACATACAGTACATCGTACCTGGACGCCACGCGGACAGAATATTCCTTGTTGGGATGGAATACTCCGTCAGGCCCCAATCGCCTGCACCTACCTTGGCATACCATACCACGATGACGCTGACCTGGATGCTAAGATGCATCATACGGCCCCTGTGCAGTGCGCACACAATAACTGACTGACCTGGACGCCACACGGACATTGTACTCCTTGTTGCGATCGTAGAACTCCGCCAGGCCCCAGTCGATGAGCCTCGGCTTGCGCTGCTCGTGCCTTCACGCTCCCAGGAACAGAACAGGCCTTGCCACACTGCTGTAGCACAACTGACTGACCTAGAGGCCACGCGCACGTTGTACTCCTTGTTGGGGTGGTAGAACTCTGCGAGCCCCCAGTCAATGAGGCGGAGCTTCCTCTGCTCGTGGTCGATCATCACATTGTGTGGCTTCACATCCCGATGCATGATGCCCTGTGAGTGGCAGAAGTCGAGAGCCTGATGGTAGGGTGTGGGGAATATTGAGGGCGCACAAGACACGAAGAGGAGGTGTGTAAGGTGCAACGTGTTTCCTCTGCTCGTGGTCGATCATCACATTGTGCGGCTTCACGTCCCGATGCATGATGCCCTGTGAGTGGCAGAAGTGAAGAGCCTGTAGATTACGGGATGTTGGAGTGAAAGTGGAGGCACATATGACAGGGTACATCACTTTGGTTTAGGGTACAGCCACACTCACACACTCACGCCCACAATCACACGCCCGCAATCACACGCCCACAATCACACGCCCACAATCACACGCCCACAATCACTCGCCCGCAATCACACACCCGCAATCACACGCCCGCAATCACACGGCCACAGCCCCATGAGCGCAGCACACCTTGAGCAGCTCGTAGCGGATATCATAATCAGAGAGCGTGGGGTAGAAAGCACGTTGAAGTCCCATGCACAGCACACATGCACACAATCGCATGCTCCCCATTTCCGCACATACCTTGAGCAGCTCGTAGATGTAGTAGCGGATATCGCAATCAGAGAGCGTGGGGTAGAGCACTTTGAAGTGCCGCGAGCAGCAGAGACACAGGCACAATGCCCCCATGCCCACCCACACCCACCCACAATTACACGGTCACACGCCCACAGCCAGCCCCGCACCTTGAGCAGCTCGTAGATGTAGTAGCGGATGTCGTAATCGGAGAGCGTGGGGTAGAGCACTTTGAAGTGCCGCGAGCAGCAGAGACACAGGCACAATGCCCCCATGCCCACCCACACCCACCCACAATTACACGGTCACACGCCCACAGCCAGCCCCGCACCTTGAGCAGCTCGTAGATGTAGTAGCGGATATCGTAATCGGAGAGCGTGGGGTAGAGCACTTTGAAGTCGGTGTTGTTCACAAACTCAAAGATGAGCGACGGCGTCTTGCTCTGCGGGTCGCGCACGATGTCCAGCAGGCGGATGATGTTGGGCCCGCCACACAAGTTCTGCAGGATCTTGATTTCTCGTTTAATCTGATGGGGGGGGAAGGAATACAGTACAGGGAGGGAAACGGGTCGCACACGATGTCCAGCAGGCGGATGATGTTGGGGCCGCCACACAGGTTGTTCAGAATCTTGATCTCGCGCTTAATCTGATTGTGGAAGAGGGAAGGGGAGGAGGGGGGACGGGAAGAGGGGCACATCAAATGGGATGGATGGGGAGAGTGCAGTACTTGAGCATGAGGGAAAACCACATTCTGTTTTGTTCTGTTTTGAGGGACAGCAGGTGATGTCCATTGTCCAGCAGGCGGATAATTTTGCCCCCTCCCCGCCCGCCCTTCCCCACCCCCTTCCCCCCCCCCCCCCACTTTCCTCCCCTCCCACAGGTTTTGCAGGATCTTAATTTCTCGCTTGATCTGGTGGGGGCGGAAAGGGGGAAAGGAAGGCGCGGGGAGAGAGAGAGAGCCGGGCAAAAAGAGACCGATGATGGTGGTCCGGGGGGCTGCAGAATTTTGTCCCACACATGACTGGGTTGACTGCAATGACCAGACTGACCGCTCTAGATCCCCTCTCTCACTCACCTTTCTTCTTTAGACTGGCTTGAGGAACTTTCGAGAGTACAAACTTCCCAGATGAAAGGGTCATCTCTCGAAAGTTTGTACTCTCGAGAGGACAGAGATGATGGCATGATGCATGCATGCACTCCCCGCTGTTGAGCGAATTGTTGACCCTATTGACTGCGTTCAACCCTTCAACGTTAACTCACCTTCTTCTTCTTGACGGGTTTCAGGATCTTGATGATGCACTTCTCACTGTTGACCGCGTTGACCGCGTTGACCGCGTTGACCCATCTATTGACCCTCTTGAATGCATTAGTCAACTCACCTTCTTCTTCTTGACGGGTTTGAGGATTTTAATGATGCACTTCTCGCTGTTGACCGCGTTGACCGCGTTGACCCAACTATTGACCCTTTTGAATGCATTAGTCAACTCACCTTCTTCTTCTTGACGGGTTTCAGGATCTTGATGATGCACTTCTCACTGTTGACCGCGTTGACCGCGTTGACCCATCCATTGACCCTCTTGAATGCATTAGTCAACTCACCTTCTTCTTCTTGACGGGTTTGAGGATTTTGATGATGCACTTCTCGCTGTTGACCGCGTTGACCCCTTCAAACACCTCGCTGTACTTGCCCCGCCCCACCTTGCGCACCACCTCGTAGTCGTCCTGGTCGCTGCATGTTGCGAGGGGTGACAGGGAGGGGACAATGGGGGGATTGGTACAACAGAGGGGCACTGTGCATTGAGCTGTACTTGCCCCGCCGCACCTTGCGCACCACCTCGTAGTCGTCCTGATCTCTGGGGGTTTGGAGAAGGCAAGTTCAGGTTGGATGGGAAAGAGTGGTGGGGAGAAGGTGGTGTTGAGGGGGGAATGGGTAGGAGTGGGGGAGAAAAGGGGGGGAAGGGGGTGAAACGGTTGCAAGGGGGGATGAGGAGACAGAAGATGAATAAGGAGAGCCAGTCCCCGCTTCATCTTGCGTGGGATGCTGAGATCCTATGCTTGCGCCACTTTTGAAAGAGTTCAAAAGGGCGGGAGAGATTATTATGGGAGAGGAGAGCCCAACCTGCGCACCGCCTCATAGTCGCCCTGACGGCTGACAGTTCCGAGGGAGGAACGCCAAAGGACTTTGGAGAGGATAGGGGAAGAAGCGATGGAGGGGAAGAAAGGGTAGCGGTTTAAAACGCTTTGTCCCATGTCTCATTGATTGTAGATGTAGAAGGCATGTGCAAAAAAAAAAAAACAAACAAACAAAACACAGGGAACGGAGGACGGAAATGGTTGATGCAAATTATGAAACTAAGAAATTTGGGCGCGAGTCGACTGTAACACGCCTCACTGGAAACAGACCAGGATTGGAGCGTGAGACGGGACACGACGGGGATATCATCAAGTTTGCACCATAAACTGTGGGACAATCAACTCTCTTTGCGCATTCCTTGACGTACTCTCACGGCTAGGTGAGCGCCTCGTAGACCCAATAGTCTCATAGACGGGGATAAAATAAAGTCCGCGCCAAAAATGATGGTAAAAAGAACTCTCATTGCGTTAACTCCCTGACATACCCCCATTGCACGGTGAGCGCCTCGTAGTCCCAATACTCCTTGGGCCGCTGCACGTTCACGTCCGCGTATATCCGCGCTTGCGACATATTGCGCGTCTCGTTACAATGACTTATTTCTCTTTCAATGTAGGACTTAACGAAACCAGCGGATACGCGGTCAATGCGCTCAACGAAAACAGACGATCGGCGAGACGGTCAGTCAACCTGAAACAGACGGTCAAAGCGTGCTGATGCGGACAATGTAGTCAGAAACGACCGTCGAACACACTTCTCCTGTCTCGCCGAACCTCCTACCAACGCTTGACACTTGGTCGCAACCCTAAAACGTAAACTGGGGCTGATCTAGCAACCGGCTAGAGGATAGAGGTTGGAGGTACGCATGCACACCAGGGAAGAGGTTGGAGACCCGTCCGCGATACAGGCTATATTGCAAATATCTATCTTGGTGTGTGTACAACAACGATCTCACTAAACTGAGAGAATCAATCCCTCCCAAGCTCCACAAAACTCAAATCCTTGACCCTATATAATTTCGACTCGATTACAATCGGCAGGAGGACGAGGTCTACATTTTGGTGTTAAAAAAAAATCATAAATGTCTTCATTATAAACGGGTGTTACGAATAGTAATATTTAATTATCACTCTGCACTCCTCACCGTAGCAAAAGAAGCATGCAGTATCGAGAACGAACGCGAAGAGTCAGACGGCTAGGGATTGACTCGAAGCGTCAGACGGTTACTGCGCATCTTGACCGTCGGAAGCAGACGACATCAGGCAGCTGCAGGCAGGATGGTTTTGGCGGGAACAGTTTCGTAACTGTACGCGCCGCACGGTTGGGAATGTATTTGAATAAGGGAATGTACCCCTTAGAGTACATGGCTAGATAGGTCGTTTCGTATTCCCCTGTACTCTTATTTATATCGCTGTATTTGCATGTTTTAATCATCTCAAAGCATTTTACATTCACTCTGCTATTGAGGTCAAGGGCCCACCAACTTTACTTCTCTTCGCGCGAACCTTCCTGAGGAGATTCTGGCGGCGATCAACTTCTGATCGCAGCATGGTATGAGAGCGGCTCGGGAATCCTTCGCACTGCCACTCCCGAAAATTACGACATTCGGAAAGTGGCGTCCGGCACACGCTCACGAGTGAAGATGGCCGGAGGATCTGGTGGTCAGACTAATCTGACGGCTGAAGCGCAACCCAACCCGGCTGCGACAAGCGAGAACACGACGACGATCGGCACCGAAGTCCTCGCACAACTTCTTCAGCGACTCACCAACTCGGAGCAAGGGCTCCAAACATTGCGGAACGTTAACGCGGGAACATCCTCGCAACCTTCTCAACCGGCCCCAACTGGCCAGAACGCCGCCCCGCACACATTCTCCCTCGATACGAATGGCTCAACCCCCAAGACTCCCCGTCCCAGTGAAGAGGCAATTCTCTCTGCACAATCAAGGTTCCTCAACATATAAGAAATCAAGACAAGTACCTGCTTTAACGGCATAGATTTTTATACCTGGAGCTTTGAACTGGAGCTCCTGCTGCAGAACGCCCAAATCTTCCATTACTTCGACGGGAGCTACGCGGAGCCCGCTGAGGACACCGACGACGCCAGGACTCGCTACTACAACGAGTCCCTGATGGCGTACGGAATTCTCCTTCGCAACATGTCGCCGGCGGAGCAACTCAACATTCGCTCGTACAAGACATCGGCTGCTCCAGCCCTCGACGCTTGGCGCCACCTGAACGGCGTGTATCAGCCGAAGGACTCCGTTTCTTCGAGCCGACTGCTCTAGCAGTTACTGGCGACAAAAATGACCTCAGGGGAGAAGGTCAACAGCTACATCAATCGCTGCCGGAGCCTTCGCGACCAAATCGCGAAGTTGGGAAGCTCGATTTCGGAAGAAATCTTCGTCAATATCGTGCTTCAAGGGCTCGGCCCAGAGTGGCGGCCCTGCAAGGCGCTTCTCCGACAGCAGGGGGTCATCTCGGAGGCCGCCCTTTGCGCCGCCCTTCTCGAAGAACAGAGGGATATGGATCAGCAGCGACCAGCGCCACGACGAGAACGTGAACGGCTCGCCTTCTACGCCGACAACAACGAAGATCGACGACCGAGGCGCCTCTACTGCAAAATCTGCAGGAACTTCGGGCACTTGGCGGATCGATGTAAATACCGATCTCGCCCTCGCCAGACCAATCCGAGCAACTGGTCTGGCCGACAAGACGCGCGAGGCGACGTGCATCCAGCCCAGAGGTATCAATCACCACCCGCGCGCAACCTGAACCCCGCGGTTCAGCATCAGCAGCAGCAGCCGTCATCGACTACTCCAGTACGCAACGTCATGAGCAACATGGCCATGACGGGCGAGTCGCGTCGTCGCCGCGTGCGCTCACCTTCACCTGAGCCAGCACCGCACCCCATTGGCGCATTCAACAACAACAATCCGTTCAGTCCGCGCCACGACTTCACTGATGACGACGACCAGGACTGGAATCTCCCAGTCCCGCTGCTTGAAAGTCCCCCGCACGTTCCAGATATGCGGGTGGCGCCACTTGATTGGCTCTCGCGCGAGCAATTTCTGAAGTTCGACACTCCGCACATCGTCACGCCGCGACTGGCGCTGCTCGCCCGTGACGACAACAAGCGCTACAACACCTGGTACCTGGACAGCTGCTGCGGCCAGCACATGGTGGGCTCGGAGCATAACATATCCAATGCAGTCGCCACCCCCACAGTCACCTATGTCACCGTGGCTAACAACACACGCCTGCGCGCAAGCGCGCAAGGCATCGTCGTGCTCAAGGCACGCGGGAGCCACACGCACATCACACTCAACGATGTGCTGATCGTCCAGAACCTGCGCTTCAACCTTCTGTCCGCCGCACAGCTCATGGACTGCGACGTTGATCTCAGCACGGATCGCGCGATGCGCGGCATTCTGCTGCATTACGAATCACGCAACTTACCCCGCAGGCAGATCGGACGAGCGCACTCCGAAAATGGAGTGTATGTCCTGGATTTCGACATTCCCGACTGCAGCGGCGACTCGCACGAGTTAATTGATCTCGTGCCACTGCGCTTTGAGCACATCCACCGCAGGGATTGGAAGCACCCTGACGGCAGACCGTGGGTGCCGCATCATCCCCACCCACGCGAAACGGCGCTGCACGACCCTGACCCAGACGGCATCTGCAGGGATTGTCACACGCCGACAGCGTCGACCAGCGCAATTGCCGGCCACTTGCCGCCATCGCCGAAGCAGAGCGCCACGCGCCGCCAGAAGAAGGAATGTCTCAGCTCGAGCTCGAGGTTACTACTCACTGCGTGTTTGGCGCCGACCAAAGCCCCCACGCCGGACCACCCTCTCAACGGCTCGAAGGCATCCTGCGCGGACAACGCCGCGGAACTTTTGACTCACTCGGAGTAGAGCGCCCTTACACCCTCAAAGAATTCCAGAAGGTGTACCCCCACTGGCGCGATCCCACGGCAAAGCTTACCGTGGAACAAGAAGAAGAATTGGCGCAGCGCGAAGCTGAAGAGCTTCGCCAGCAAAGCCTCGCCGAAGCGCGCGGGACATTCGCTTGCGGCGCATGGGGAGCCGAAGCGGAAGAAAGTGCCTCCAATGAAGGGGGGGTGGGGCAGCGCTGGCGGATGGGGAACAAGCGACACCGGCGGATGGGGAGACAACGGCGGAACCTGGGCCAACGCAAGCGGCGGATGGGGCACCGCACTGGCGCCCACAATAGCGGTTGGGGGACTTTTCGCAAAGAACAAAGGGGGGGAGAGGATGAAGCAGAGGAAACTGAGGCAACACCTGCAGTCGTTCCTCTTGGTCGTCCCCCGCGCCATATTCCACTCGCATTACCTCCTCCTGACAACCCCCCGCGCCGCGATCCATGGGACACCATCGTCTGGGGCAACGAGCCGTCAACCCCGCGTCGCACCGTCTACGGACCTGCTCCCGAGCCACGCGAACCCACCTACGTCCTTGGAACCATCCCTGGGACCAACATTTCACTCTCTGAGATTCGCGACAGAGAGTTCCTGGCGCTAATGCTTACTACCGCGGCAGAAGAAGAAGACGCAGAGGAAGCTCCCGTACCTGACGAAGACCCTGAGGAAGCTCGCGCGCGCTACATGCGCACTTCCGGCTTTCGCGCTGACGATGCACTCTGGCACCAGCGCCTCGGACATCCTTCACGCGCGACGCTGAAAAACTGCATCGACGCAGGCGTCTTCGCTCCTGGAGCGCTCCTCTTTACGCCTTGATGGCACTGAAGTGAGAGGCGCGACACACCCGCGCAACTGCACCGTCTGCCCCGAAGCTGCGCTAAGCCACCAACCGTTCCCGCTGCTCGAGCCTGGGACAAATCGCTACCCCAAGCTGCACAAGGTGTACAGCGACTTCCGCTGAATGTGGGGCACTGCGGAGTCGACGACGAAATGTACACGCTTACCTTCATCAACGTTGGAACGCACTATGTGTGGGTCGTGAACGTCGAATCCCACGACAGAGCCTACGAGGTGTTCCGCCTCTGGCTGGCGCATGTGCAGCGGCAATCTTTGGAGAAGCTGAAAATCTGGCAGTCTGACGGCGCAGTAGAATTCAGGAGCAACCAAATGCAGACTTACCTGCCGCAAAAGGGGATCGAGCACCATATCTCTCTCCCCTACGCACACCAGCAGCAGGGCGTAGCCGAGCGGACGAACCGCACACTGATGACGAAGGTGCGGGCGCTGATGAAGCAGTCGAAGCTGCCGCCGATCTACTGGACCTACGCAATGCACCACGCCGTGCGGGTGCACAACCTGCTTTCGACCACCGCCATCACCGGCAATCTGTCCCCGCACGTCAAGTGGACCGGGACTAAGGGGGACACATCCATGCTCCGCGTGTGGGGGTGCATGGTTCAATACCGCCCGCCGACATTAACGATCGGCAAATTCGCCAGCCGCGCGCGCTGGGGAATTCACCTCGGCATCAGTCACGAGTACAAAGCATGGATCGTACTGGACCTCCTCAGTCAGAAAACCGCCCACGCTCGCGACGTAATCTTCTACGAACGCCTCTTCCTCGAGCA